CCACTTTCTTACAGCTGCAATGACAGCATCGTTGTCTGGAAAATGTTGCCCACGTAGTCCGTCTTTCATAGGCCCAAAGAGATGGAAGTCTGAAGGTGCTAATTTGGGGCTGTAAGGTGGATGTGGTAGGACAGTCCAGCCAAACTTTGCAATGTGCGCGGTGGTCGCCAAACTGGTATGGGGTCTAGCGTTATCGTGTTGCAAGCGAAAGGTTGTCTGCTTCTCTGGCCTGACTCGGGAAATGCGGGCTTTCAGCTTATTCAGCGTCGTCTTGTAGCGTTCAGAATTGACAGTCCCTGGTCGTTATCTGCTGATCTGTTCGGATGGGGCGCTGTTCCTTGTGAGGAGTAGCAGCTGAGCAGGGACGCCCATTGCGTGGCTTGTCGTGCACTTCACTTTCGCCACTGTTGAAACGCACTACCCACCGAATCACTGTGCTGACATCCACTGTATTGTCTCCGTACACCTTTAGCAAGTGTCGATGGATGTCAATGGGTACAATTTGTTCGGCAGTGATAAATTCAATAACACATTTCTCTTTCATACGCACTTCTATGTCAGACGCCATTTTGGTAGACTGCTCTGCTGTCGCTATCTGTCGCACGACAACCAAATTAACAGTACATTGGCGGGAAGGTTCAACCTTTACTACAACACCACCAACATCCAGCTCAGACGTTACATATTAACACATAAAAAAAGAGGCATTATATACGGAACGCACCACGTAATTATGTTGTACTGTATTATAGCCTATTGTTTATATTTGGTTTTGGTAACCAAGAGACGATAGCTGAGTAAATATAGTGACTAGATACGCGCTGGGACGAGTGCGGTTCGATTTCCAGCAGGAAAAGGATTTCTTTCCACCTGATCCAGCTCGTCTCAGAGGCACGCTAACCTCTTGTCAGGTGGAACGGAGCTCTTTATTTGGGTCTAAAGTGATCAAAACCTGAAACCGACCATCACGCGCACATTGTGCCGAAGTTAAGAAGGCGTCAAGCTATGCCTCCACTTATTCATACATCTTCCATGCTTGGTGCTCAGTTGAACACACAGGCACAGTGTTACCTTTTTTTTGGTAATCTCGTACAATCGTCACTCGTTTCTCCCAGACCCGTTAACGTGATCCATCCATTGTCAGTAAATAAAACGAGCTAAAGTAAAAATGAGGCCTACAGAATCATGTTCTTTGTCTCTCGACGAAGTCGACTTGTCTGCTGCGGAAATAGAGCGATACTTGAAAGTAGGACAGTGGGCGGGTATCACAGAGTTCGCTAAACGACCTCCTCACAGGATATTCAGAATGTTCCTAATGCCCCGCTTACGTGAAACGTACGCGATACCACAATCTTCCTGCCGGATGTTGTTCAGCGTGAGATACACTATTATACCGACTGGTTAGGCCTAACAGATTTAAATGAGTATTGGTAATGACGAATATGCCCAGGGGCAGGTCCATGTATGCGAAATTATAAAATATTGGATAAACAGTGAAAAGTTGAAGTATTTGGGAAAGACAGTGACAAATCAAAATTACATTCATGGAGAATGTTATATGTCTGCGCCCTGCTTGTGTCTTTTATAGGCTATATAACAATCATCTCACAAGAAATTAGCAAGAGATTAAATGTAGAGAACGCTTGCAGTTGTGCTATTCAGAATCTGGTAGCCTTTTATTTGCTATATAAATGCTGAAATATTGAAATATACAAAACTGTAATTTTACCTGTTGTTTTGTGTGGTTGTATAACATGGGCTCTCACATTAAGGAAAGAACATAGATTGCGGATGTTTGAGAATATGGTTTTAAGGAGAATATTTCACTTGAGGATGAAAAAGTGACATGAGGTTGGAAACAATTGTGTAATGAGCCTGATACTCACTTTTGTTAGAGGCTGAGTCGACCCACGGGGCCATATAGTGCGGATGGAAGGATTAGATAAATTGAAAAAATAAAAATCCACCTCATCGGGACTCGAACCCTCTACCCTCTGGCTTGTAGCATAGTGCCCCAACAAACTACGCTACTGCATGCCCCACTGAGAATTGCATACAAAATTTTAATCACACAGAGTGAAGGCAGGTAGACCCCTTGGCAAGTGACAAGTTAATATTCAAATGGATATTAAAGAAATCAGGTGTGCGTATGTAGACTAGATTCAACGGACTTGGGGTAGGGACCAAATAATGTTGCACTTGTTGTAGGCCACTTAACAGAAAATCTAAGGTAAGGGTAAAAGGTAAAGTTGACCCTGTGCTTAATTAATTAAGCACTACACCATGAAGGCATATGGGGTTGTGGATGTATAGATTCACATTTTCTTGACCTCGGCACTAGCTGGAGGTGACTGATCAACTTTACGCCCCTGCTGCTTTGTCCCCCCAGGGTCTGGATGACGTGGAGAAGAGAAAATTCTTGACCCTACCAGGACTCGAACTCCGACCCCTCAGTCACCCAGCCCATAGCTAGTCACTATACCACCTACGCTGTCCTGGCTCATCTAAGATGAATTTCAAATGAGCAATTGAATACAAGGCCAGAGAGTTACTGCTACAACAGCCTGCTCTCTGAACACTGCAGTACTTAACATCAACAGGCCTTGCTGCAGTGGGTCTAAATGTTCAAACAGTCTTGCAGAATGCAATTCCTTATCACCAGTTGATGCTCACTTCCGTTCTTTGTTATACTTCCTTTTTATTTGCTCCTAGGTTTACCACATCTGATAATAGGATACTTCTATAGACCCATATGCTGCATATAGTACTTAGAGCACTACATTTTAGCATCACAGTGTTTAAACATGATTTTGTCTATAAAATCTAAAAGTTTGTGATGATGGTATATTTATACAAATATTGTGCTTCTGGACATACCCATGCCCTTTTTTTATTTGACCACACAACATTTCAGAGACTGGATTCTGTCTCCGTCTTCAGGTGGAACCTACTCAGTTGGGTCCAATTGATAGATCTAATCCCTATCTCCAGACACCTGCACAAACCACCTGCAAGGGTTAAGGCAAACATTAAAAACATCAGATAAAACTCCAAACGTATGAGGCCTAACACCAGAGTACTATCAGAATATAAATCATCACTGAACAGATAAATTCTATGTATAGTACCATCATAGAAAACACAGTTTTCCCACTTAATCTACACAGAACATTGTTGTAGTTTTTTACTTCTGCTGCAATAATGGGAGTCCAGATGGGAGAGATGTCCAAGCTAGTGGTGAATTAGAGAATTAGAGTCGTTTTGTCTTTTATTCCCACCAAGTTACTACGCACAGCCATAATGTCACATATTTAATTTCATCATGTTTCGTTCTGGCAGTGATGGGGTATATAATGGAAAAAAAGGAGCTGAGATTATATCCAACCATTTCAAACCCTGCCTTCATTCTCTATTAATGGAACAGGTTCATTAGTGGTAAATTGAGACCACAACACGTTTAGCTCCTGTTATTCGTTCTATACTCCAAATATAACAGGTTTTGTAGCATCATCTAGTCTTCTGCAGTAGAATACAAGGGGTGTATTAATTAGCTATTTTAGTCTATACTCTATACATTTCTGAAATAATGTGGTGTGTTTACATTAGTCAGCAAGGGTGTGATAACAGAAAAGATAATTTACATATTTTAAATCACTTCTAATATGCTGATACCAATCCTGTACACATAATATCACAGTTTTATTTACCGAACTTCGAGCTAACAATCTTCTTTTTCGTATTTTGTATTTGTGTTTCTTCTGATTTTGTTAACAATGATGTATGAATATAATCGTTCATTGTTGAATAAATAAAACCATCGAAACGGTGTCATAATTTCAAATTGTGTAAGAAAATGCATGTGCATTCGTGTGTTGTCTTGCACAAAGAAGATAAGGATAACAAAGAAAACTGTATCTTAACCGCTTTTTCTCTGTAATTTTTGTGATCAACATAGCCAGTTTAATCAAAAAAGCATATTTTGTACATATTATCAAAAGAAAACTGAAAATTGGTTATGCTATGTTATGAATGATGAGTTTAGAGTTACGTATAAGAAGTTGTCATCACATATTGTAAATGACTATCCAGGAATTTGCCTCAAGGAACTGTGGGAAAATTGTAACCTTTTCAGATTGTGGCTGTATGGGTTGTGACACCATGTAGTGAGTGTTTAGTAGTGTAGATGGATACCAACATTTTGATAGAACATGCTGGAACTGAGTATCTGTTTTCCTTGCTACCTGCCTGTATAACCTGCTGCATCATCACCACATCCTTTTAAACCCAGTAATGGAGGCAGCATATTCATTTGAAATGTTCCACATATGCACTCAATTTTTATCGCAGCTGTGAAGACATCGGTCTGAACATTCACCGCCATGAAAACATGGAAACTTACAGCAAAATATTTTGGTCATAATGTTTAGTCTTTGAGCAAGTATCAGACAAGGTTCCTCAATAATATGATTGAGACATTTCTGCTCTGCCAGTCTTCATGGTATGAGGGTTGCAAATGAGACAGCTTTCTCCACCTTGTGATTTCTTTTCTGGAGAAAGAACAGAATTCACCTAACATATTAGCATGAATTATATACATATCATCAGCATATTATGTTATGTTTTGGTTCAGTTTTACAGTGTGTATAGATCTCATTACTGTTTTATAATTAATGTCTAGGGAGCAATGAGATTTTAATTTTTTGTTTGCTTTTAACTTTTGAACCAAAAAAAATTCCTTTACCTTGATTAAATTTACAATTACTTCACTTAATTTGCTGCTTCAGTTGTATATGAATTGTGATTAAATCTCCAGTTCAGAACATAGATTGAATTCTTTATATTTTCATGTGAAGCTGCCATTTTATGTGAATGTATATTGATAAAATGGCTATTGTAATATCATATTTGTGTATTTATTCCCTGCCTCTCCTTTCAGTCTCCTTATAGTGCATATCTGGGTTGTGGCATGACTAAAATAGGTACTGTTACTCTGTGTCTAGCTGACAACACTTGTGAATCAGCTGGATGGACGTGGAGAATTGCCATTAGATATAGCACTATGTGCAGGGCAAACCAGCATAGCTCGGACTCTGGTGGAGCACCAAGCAGATCTCGATGCTAGGGATACCCGTGATTATACATTGCTGCATCGAGCTGTTGAAAGAGGTGTGTGTTGAACAAGATTCAGAATATACATCGTATATGTTATCTGTTTTCTGTAAGATGGACAACCCAGTATATCAGTGTGAATATTTACTTGCATGTATGAGATGAGCAATTGCATATGTTCAGTTTTTACAGCATTTAAAATTCTTACCAGATTTAAAACATTTATTTGTCATGTTTTCACTTTTTTGATCATAATGTCATACTGTATATTTAATTTATGGTATCGTAGAATAAGACAGTCCAGTGCCTAGGAAGTAACCGGATATGTTTTCTAGTATCTGTGCAGTATGGTAGTATTTGCAGACTTCAGATTCCACATGAGGATACTTGAGTGAGAAGTGTTGTGGACACCATGAACCTAGTTTGGTAACATAAACCCTTGTGTGTAGAAGCAGAAGGAACAGATTCATTTAACAAGTTAGATCATTCATCAGTAATCAAGCATATTATTATGACATTTATATCTATGAAGATAATTGTATTTAATAGCCTTTTATCACTCATTCTCAATTTAAAAAACCATATAATGGAATTTATGTTTATAAATTATCCTGTAAAAGAGAAACATTACCAAGTATTAAAAGTTTGTGCCAATGGTACATAAACACAAACATTACTTTTCTGGACATTATCCATTTTTCTGCTTTTATCTAAAACACTGCCTTATATTATTTAAAAACACAGCATTTTGGAGACTGGATTCTCTCTCCATCTTCAGGTAAAACGTACTCAGTTGGGCCCAATCAGTAGTGCCTATATGCAGGCACCTGTACCAACACCAGGTAGGGTATACAAGCACAGCACAAACCATATGTGAGAGCTAAGATAAAACATTAAAATATTAAAAACTCCACACATATGATGCCTTGCACCAGAAAACTATCAGAAGTCATCACTACAGAGACAAATTCTCTGTATGGTACCAACACAAAAAACACTAATTATCCAACTCAGTCTACACTGGACAGAGTTGTAGTTTTTTTTACTTCTGCTGTGATAACACGTGTACATATGGGAGAGATGTCCACACTGGTTTAACTGATAGGATGGTCTGTCAGTGACGTGTGGTCAGATTCTTTGTATTTCTTGTATGTGGTGTTTGGTTCAACATGCAACCTTCATTCCAATGTATTTTGAGGCCTTCTTCATATGCATATTGGGCTAATTTTGATTTTTTGAGCAGTCCCTGTGTCAGGCTATATTTGTGCTCTAAAGGTCTGCTTGTAATACCTTTGATAAGCTAACTAAATCTAATGCTGGAGGGTGAGATTAATGATAAGAACAGTCTTCACTGTGCTGTAATCATAAGATCTGCCAGTGCCAGCAGTAGTAGCTTACCAGAAACTATTTTAATAATATGCTCCCTATTTTAATTTGCACTGATTTTAGTTGTTACATTGTTGTTTGCCTAACATGAACTATCACCAGATGGTGGGAAAGGTTTCTCTTAAAGGGATGCTGTCATTGCAGGATAAGTGTTGCTTTGAAATATCAAGACAAAAAGCAGGTAAATGATAGTAAAACACTGATGTTATTTGTTACAGGTGACAAGTACTCTGCAAGTTTTCTAATAAATCATGGTGCATCTGTGGCCACTGTAACTCCAGAGCTGGGTGACACTGCCTTGCACACGATTGCAAGTTATTCACCCAGTACTTCAGAGACTGACGTCATTACTGCCATGACAGATGTTGCAAGACAGATGTTGGAAAAGGGGCTTGATCCTAACCTTCAGAACAAGCAAGGCTTGTAAGCATAGTCATATTTCATATATATCTTAAAAACAGATTGACTGTACAACCATACAAAATAGTTTATTTTACGAGTAAAACTGTCTGCTTCCTGCCATCAGCATAGAGATTTCACTTTCAGTTTTTATGAATCAGCATGGAGATTTTTGCATGAACTGTAGCAGTAGACTTGGCAATAAGATGTTGAATCCTCTTCCACAATATATAGTTTCATTTATTTTGACACCAGAAAATTATTTTATTTTATTCCCTTTAAAATACTAAATTTTTAGTATTTTCCTCATGAAAAAATCCATAACAATGTCTTATTTGTGTGTTTTTTTTTCAAAGCTGTTTTCAGAAGAGTAGTAGATTAACACAATTGCCATCCTTGAACTGTCTGGTTGTAGTATAAATATGTCCTGTATTGGCAGTACTCCTCTCCACTTGTCAGTGATGGCACGCAACGAAGCAATTTTCTCTCTCCTACTGAGCCACACCGCACAGCCTGTAGATTTAAATCTTCGCACTCATGAGGGTCACGCAGCCCTCTGGTTTGCCTTGCTTACATCTCTGGAGTATGGGGAAGAAAGTTTTGCTACACGTCTGTTGAAGAATGGAGCTTCCCCAAATCCTGTGAGTGTCAAGTGATATTATTTGTAACTGTGTTAGAAAATGTTACGTGGCTCTACTACATTAAAACTGTAAGAGGATGTAGGAAGGTTGTGCTATGCAGTCCTGTATAAAATATGAAAATCCCAAGCACTTTACCCCTGTTGAAGCAGAGTAGTAACGTGGGCATCAAGTTTATTTTAAAAATTGTTAAGGAAATACTTGCAGGAGCTGTGGTAGCGTAGTCAGTGTAGTGACTGGCTACAGGCTGGACTACTGACGGGTCGGAGTTTGAGTCCTGGTAGGGTTAAGAATTTTCTCTTCTCCACATCATCCAAACTGGCTCTGGGATCCACCCAGCCTTCTATCCAATGGGTGCTGGGGTGCTCTTTCCCCAGGTGTAAAGTGGTTGGGACACGAAGCTGACCACTCACTTCCAGCTAGTGCCAAGGTCAAGAAAATGTGGGTCTATACATCCACTTCCCCATACGCATTCATGGGGTTGTGCTTAATTAGTTAAGCACAGGGACAACTTTACCTTTGGAAATACTTGTTTTTTAATTACACATTTGTTTTGCTTCCTCAAATATTTTTTGTTCATTTAACAGTACTGAATGTAGCAAAAGCTATATAGCATTGGGTGGTAGAATTATAAATGGAACTGAAAATAGTGTGGAAGGAAGCAGTCATGGTCTGTTTCAAAGTAGCATGCTGGTATTTGCCACAAGCAACTGAGAAAAATCATGAAAACCTCAGGCAGTTCATGTCACAACCAAGATTTGAGTGAGGCACCTCCTGATACAACTGAGAATCATTACTGCCTGAACCAACTTATTCAGTATGTTTCCTCATAAAAATGTTTGATATGTTGTGCAGTACTTTCCAACAAAAGCATGAGTAACTCAAAACCACTGCTCCCAGGTTGCAGCTTATGTTTTTTAATACTGGTTCATATAAATAGGAAGGAATAAAGAAAACAGTAAGTGCTCGTACTGTTTCATTTACATAGTATATATGCGAAAGTATTGTGACCATGAAAGGATTTGATCTGGAGAGTATGGCAGATTTACACTTTTTCATCCCACCTGAATATGAACAAGTGGTTTTCCAAATACCATTTGCCTGTCTGTCTGTTTGTATATACAAGTATGTTATGTATATATGGATGTGCACCAACGTTCCCTCTAAGCCAGGGATGCAAGTGTGCAAGTCATGGTGTCTTCTGAGCAGCAGTTGGGCCGGCTTGGGCCACATGGGGGGAGGGCAGCAATTTTCAAAAGAGGTCTGTAACATACTAAAGTTCTAGTATTTAGAAGTGACAGTCCAGGAAAAGCTGCGCAGTGGATGGGCAGGTCCATTCGTGAAAGTTGAGGGGTGTTGTGATTAGTCATTCGTCTGTATTCAGTGCGAGCAGACGTCTCAAGAGCATTCTTCCTTGTACAGTCAGGTTAAAAGGTTTTGACTCTTGGAGTCGTGTTTGAGTGTATTATTTTCTATTTACTGTATTAATATTTTATTTTATTGTTTATTTTTTGTTTATTTATATTTGTACATTTTTCTATCTCCTTTAACATGCCACCTACATGAAGTAAATTGAGTGGCAAAGTGTTGCATTCACAATCAAGAGAAATTGTTAGTAATGTATATAAGTATATGAAAGAGGCTACACCAATTATGAAAAATGGTTAAAGGAGCAACTTACGTATTCTTAACCTTCCCCCAAATTCTGTCCTTATCATTGATAATGCTCCCTACCATAATGTACAACTAAACAGAGCCCCTAACTCAAATTCAAGAAGAGATTTTATGATATCCTGGTTAAAATATCACGTTCCACCTATTACCTTCAATAACACTGATTTTTCATCATTGCGGAATCCAGACATATATAATATGATCCTACCACTCAAACCGAAATACCTTTCCTATAAGATAAATTGAATCTTTGCAGAACACAATCACAATATTTTACGACTCCTTCCGTATCACCCAGAACTCAACACATTTGAGTTAATATGGGCCACCATAAGAAATTTGGATGCTCAAAATAATACCACATTTAAGATGGATGATGTCATTAAACTGGCAGACCAAAATTTGGCTTCTATAACTGCAGAGGAATGGCAATGTAAATGCCAACATGTAAGGAACATTGAGCAACAATTAGTGGCACGGGAAGGCCATTTGGACACAGGACGGGAGTTCATCTTCCATGTTGACAATGATAGTGATGACAGTTCTGACGATAGCTCCAATTCATCTGGTGGTGACGAGGAAGGACAGGCATGTGGAGATGATATCTATGCGGACATTGCCGGTGTTGCCCCTTTAAAATAGACCCATGTAATATGTAAATAAACTCTTCATGTATATGACAGTGAAAAGTGTATAATAGTGTATAGTGCAAAACAGTCTGCAATTCGGCACTTAAAACTTAACATCGGATTTGTGAACATCAACAAGACTAAACCATCATCACTGTGTAACACAATGGCGTAAGAAGTTATTTCCTTTTGAGAACGCATGTACTGCATTCCCCGCCACACTTGTTGGCATGCTGGAGCTCTCTCTGCCACTACCAATACTTCTCCTACTCCACGTCAGAGGACTGTCAGCTCTAAGTACTACAACTATACATTAAATTTATAAGCTCCCAAAAATAACAAAAAAAGAATATAGTTTACTTTTCCATTTTATTTTTATTAATTCAAATTAACTATAATCTAAACCAGTAAAAGTGTGTGGGAGACTGAGACTTGTGTGCAGGAGTGCAACAGCTGCTGTGTGACTATGCAGGCAGCTTGTAAGGGATATGATGTGCACCATGCTGGTATCAATTCCCAGAAAATATAGATCTCTTTGTGCAAAAGATATTGAGTTTTGCCATGTGTGCACAATGTAAATACTGCAGATGCTTGTGGTTGATGAGGATCACTGTACATTTTTATTCTGAACCACCAAGATATTTTAATTACTTAAATGTGTGCTTATAAAGTCAAGACATGTTGATAATGCTGATATATTACAGGTTGTTGAACCACACAGCATTGATATGACAGTGGTCTTATATTTTTCCCCAGATCTATTCAGCGTCTTCTGACTCTCTCCTCCATCTTGTCTGCAGAGAAGGTTTGGAAGAAGCAGGCCTATTATTATGTTTGCATGGAGCAAACGCTAATCATGTCAATAAGAAGGTCTCTAATCCATTCTGCACTAACCAAGTATTGCTTTAATATTATATTTTGTTTTATAATGGGAAGAAGTGCCAATGATAAGCACAGAAGTTACCATAACACATGCAGAGCCATGTGTTAGAAACTAGATTATATGTTCATAGTTGAGGACTGAGTTTTTTCATGTCTCCAAAACGTGTGTAGCACAGATGTATTAGCTTAGAATTTAGAAACAATAACCTGTTATTTGAAGAACAGAAAATTCATAAGCATTATGCTTTGCTATTTGTACATTGTAGTAACACAGCATAACACACAATCTTGTCATATACTAGATGGATGTGTTGCAACATGAACACTGTATCTTTGTCATGACTCACCACACCTCAGAGGTATAATATTTTGTACAGTAATCTGTGCTAGTCTGTTACTAGTGTCTGTCTCAGAATTACTGGGTTTTTGGATTTTTTCCATCATCCAGTATTCTAGAAAGTAGAGAACACACCATTTCGGAAACTGGATCTGTTTTCATCCTCAGGTGAGAAGGGAAGACACCTACTCAATTGAGTCCCTTAGAAAGAGCTAACCTCAAGAAAAATTTTGATGTAGGGTATTAAAAATCAATGACCACACTAAATCAAAAAATATTATGACATATTTTGGACTAAAAATCTGGAAATTCTTTCTTTTAAGTAACTGTTAGCATAGTGCTAATTTATATGGGTGTCTGTAAGTGGAGTCATGGTTAAGATTAATGGAATTCTTTATGACCTGTGCACAAACTCTTGTAGTAGGAAGGTAGCTTTGTGTATAGGGCTGTGAGATATAAATTCTTTACATTATTTCTTTATCAAAACTTGATAGTGAACATTCTCGTAGACAAAGTGAGAATTAAGTTGCCTAGTAGTATTGGTGGGAACAGAGTTAGTTAGTTAGTTATTTGGAGAGGATGGGTTTCCCCATGCACTTAGACCTGTATTGGTCCATTGTGCTTCCCTCTATGATTTCTACCAGTCTCTATATCCTACCGGTACTGGTGCTTACCATCAGTCCCGCCCAGCCAGCGAGACCANTCCCGGAGGACTTGTTCCCTGAATTTTTCCGCCCTTAAAAATTCGACGACCTCCGCCGGGTATTTGAACCTGCGTACTACAAGTCATGAGGTGGGAACGTTACCTCTAGACTACGGAGGCCACTGGGAACAGAGTTACTGTGATTACTGTATGCTGCACTTCCCACTCAATTTGCTGTGCAAATGGTATTAAATATTTCAGCTCCTAACCAGATAGTGAACTGGTTAAAATGACTCAAGTTAAACCCACATTATTTGCGTAGTTAGCTCTGTTCAAGTACTCCTCATTATTTGCAAATCTGAAAAATGTTATTTCATTTTAATGCCAATAGTTTCAGTTAGTAGCACTTGCTTTAATGCAGTTTGCCTGCTGGCTGATTGAGAAAGGCAGGAAGAAAGAGGAGTAGAGTATTGTAAGGGTGTGTATGGGTGGTGGTGGAGGAATACAAGGGGAGAAGGGAGAAATACGTGATTTCACCCACTACAACTTTGTTCTGAGACACAGCTGTCACATAAATCAAGGAATGTCTCTGTATTCTTCTTATTTGGCGTCATTATGTCTTTCTCATTTTTGATCAGAGCCAGCTGAAAAATATAAATCTGGGTGTAATCTGTGTGTTCTCTGTTCGGGGAGTGTATTTATTCTGTATAAAGTGTGAAGTTTTCACTGCATGTGAATACAGTGAAGTCTTCAGGTGCAGTCATCCATGTCAAGGTTGAATAGATTTTCAGCATTTTGAAACTGTGACTTTCATCAGCATCATCTTAGGCGATGCGTAGCAACACTCTACACTACATTTATGCAAGATTGCACACAGGAAAAGATAAGAAACTAAAACGCCTCTCTTGATTTGAATGAAACTCGTGTAAGTTGTACAGAACATACCTAAGTGTGCGTATGAAGAAGTTTATTCATTTTGATTGATGTTGTCATGTGTTAGTGACTAGACAAAGGGTTGGATTGAATATTGAATGCTTATTGCTCATAACTGCAAATAAGTATTACACTCTTACTATTCGACACAATCGAAATAACTACAGCTGCAAATAACTTATATTTCTTCACTACTCAATTCTTAGTAGCAACTTTAACATTATGGATTCACTTTACTGCTTCTGTACTTGGCACCAGCTGGTAAATGACTACTTCATTTTTAATATTATGAAAATAAATCAGAGAGTATTCTACAAAATACTAATATCCTTTTTTGCAATTGGTCCCACTGCTGAATGTGGACACAATCCCTCTGTTCTTATGGTGACTTATTTGACGTTCAGTATTCAGTTATCTGTCAACACTAATGGCATCAATATGGTTGCTGCATTTACCACAAGCACCAAAGACAGCAAGTGTGCTGGGATTCAGTCTTTGTGGACTGAATGGACTGAAGGTGTGAAAGATGTGAAAATTCATTGAAGACTAGCATCACGCTACAGTGACAGTGTTGAGGCGAGGACATGCTAGAGCAGGACACCATATACATTTTGAAGAAACCAGACCACTGGCTAGATCTGTCAGCTCTGTGGAGTAACTAGTGAAAGGGGTCCTTGAGATCTGGCTGATACCTGACCAGCTGCATGTTCAAATACAGCAGGAAGGCCAGAGCACAGACCATGGTAGATGAGAAAAGCCCAGAGACTGGAAAAGAGGAGATGAAAGGTTTTTGCAGGCAGGGAACATGGACTGTGGCCTGAAGGTGAGGAACACTTGATTCCATACATTGGACCTCTCTTGGTCTGCTAATATAGTAGGACACAGGGCCCTGAGGAAGAAACTGTATTTTAAATACACCCTACAGTAGTGCTACTTTAACACCAATCCTTGATGATAGAGACAGTGACATTTTCCAAAACTTTAGAATTTCATTCCATCTTGACACTGCTGATTGCTTAAGAAGATTTAATCACATTTATTCTCATGCTTGAGCATAGTAGATGTCACTTAGATGTTAGAATGGCCACAACTTACATGTGCTCATGCTTCCACTTAGAAATTACGCTGTCCTTGAAGGTCATGGGTGTTATTCTTAAGACTAAGATCTGGATGGGTTTTTGTTGCAGTTGCAACAAAGCAGGAAATGTTCACATGTCCGCTTTGCCATGGTCGCCAGACTTCAAATAGAGCATGATTTCTTCATTTCCTCTACTAATGAACTTAGAATTTGGTAACACAAACAATTGAAATCCTTGATCACATATATCAGTGTTAAATTAAATTATATTATTGGGATCTGTCCTACTTGTAATCTTGTATTTTGTTTGTAGGGATAAGAAGTAGCTTTCAAAATGGAGACTCGGTTTTGTGCTGTGTAAAGAATACTAGCTTCTGTTAGCACATTCTCCACCAGCAATGACAATTGACACTCAAGTGAGGATTTCACAGCTTGGTCATTGAAATATTTCATCTCTTTTCCACTGGCTGTTGTGTCATTGTCATAGCACTTTATCAGATCATAGTAAGAAGAGTTTGAGGAAAGGGTGTATAGATTTTGAACATGCATTCAGTATTAAAGAAACATTTTTCTAAACAAAAACCATTGTGTTAGTCCTTGTTTATTTATGCAGTTTGTGTGACATGTATACAGTATCTTTAAAATTTCTGTCTGGAAATGATAACATCACAGATGAGGATACCCATCACTCTTATTTTCTTTTTGGCATAATATTTCTCTTCAAAATGCTTATGTTACTTGTGTTTCAATTCAATTTATTGAAACATTCCATTGATCCTTAGTGGTGCAATAATGACCAGCAGATGTGGAATTAGTCACGGACAAAACCAGACAAGTTGCATCACTTTAACAGGATATGAATATAAATATATCCATGATTCATCTCCACAATACAGTATCTCAAACATTGGTCTAATATCTAAAAGCAGATAATTTATTAGGACATTACATCAATTATTACTTACAAACAATACCCAGACAACAAACAGGTCATAAATGCCTGCACACTTAATACCCAGGACATAGATGGAACAACTTGTGTACATCATATGACAGCTGTATGTTTAAAATGTTAAAATTAATGTACTGATAGTACTAAGATGTGATGAATATATATGAGCAGATTATAAGTATCATAAAAAAGTTTACTTAGTAGGGAGTATAACCCAGGTGTTTAGTTTACTTTACAGTTAAAATATTCATCCAAAGAATAAAATGAACTGGAAAGAAGAAACCTTTTTAGCATCGGTTTGAATAGTTTCATTTCATTACTCAGACTTTTTATATGAGGTGGAAGATGATTATAAGCTCTGATTCCAGAGTAATAGGGTCCTTTTTGGAAAACTGTCAAACGTGATGAAGGAAGGTGCAAGTTTGTGCTATGTCTAGTACTGAAGCTATGAATCTCATGATTTGATTTGTACAGATCTTTATTTTTTATGACAGTTTGCTACAGTATTGGTCAGTCTATCTCACTGTCTCTTACAAGAGTTACTATTAATTGGATGCATGTTGCAATTCCATTTAGCAACTATATATATATATGTAAAGAAAATGTACTCTGCTGTAGGGGGAGAGCCCACTTCATGTGGCATGTTCCAAAGGCTTAAGCAAGTTAGTTGGAGAGCTGCTTAAAGCTGGTGCAAACCCTAACCTGCAAACTCTTCAGATTCATGATGGTGGTTATAATAGCACTGGCAAAAGCGAAGCTGTTACCTTCAAACAAACTCCACTACATGTTGCCATTGTTCAGAAACAGGAAGGAGCCATAAGAGCCATCATTGATCATAAAAGTATGTGAAATAGTTATACAAACTGCTCTTTACTATTAAAACTTTAGGGTGAAATACATATGGTTGCATTTACATAGTTTGTTTTGTCTGTATCTGTGTTATGTAGTTGCTGTTCGCACATTGTATCTTGTTACCCTTCTGCTCCCACTCCTGATATAGTCTTGTAGGTCTTCCTGTTACCATCCTGAACATTGTCATCACAGCATACTGAACTTCCTCATTGGGTTAAATTGTTAATCCTTCTAGATTTCATTCATCCTCAGTAAGATTAAGGAATTGGCAGGGCTAGGGTGTGATGAGTGGAGTGGTTGCAGAAGAACGGGAACTGCATGCTTTTCCAGATTCTTGTATCCAAGAAATGTCAGATGGGCTGATACATTAACATGTTCAAAACCTTATTTTCTGCTTACCATAGATGTTGACATTTGTGTGAGATCACATTCTATATGAACTTGTGTTGGATCAAATCGAGGCTGTGGAAGATGATGTTAGTATTGCCTTGTTTATTACTTGGTCTGCATGCACTTCATGGAAATGGAGATCTCCATAGGAAAGTTGACATTTTGACTGTGGATCATAAAAATCAACATTTCTTATGTCTGCTGACATTTCCTTTTTGAAATTAGTGATCAAGAACTAAAAGGAATTCTAAGTAGTTTAAGGAAATGATAATGGGACTGATACTGAGAGGATTTCTAGTTCCATGCTAAAGAAATGTAATGGATTGTTACTCAGTACATTAACACATTTGGTAAATATGTCAGTTGACCATGGAATTTTTTCAGGTCATCTAAAGGTCAATCTGATCAAACCATTGTTCAGGTCAGGAGATAATAGTTCAGTTTACAACTGCAGACCAATGTCTCATCTACAAATCTTCTCAAAACCAGAAGAGAAAGTTATGCAAAAAGGGTTACAGATTTTACTTATAAACAAAAAATTACTTGATAAATTTCAGCGTGAATTTATAAAAGTAATCAACAAACACTGCAGTGGCAGAGTATGTAAAATCTACAATATTTAGAAGATTCTACCTACACTGCTGACATGATACTAGACTTAACTAAAACATTTCAGAAGTTCACATGAATGGGTCCATTCCGTTTTACCTAATGATAGCATTACCCTTCTCTTCTAAGTGAAGAACTGAACGATAAATATGTCATAAAATGCACATATGTAAAGAGATTGATGCTATTACCTCAGAAGTCAGAAATTAAATGAGCTGTAAGAACATTATGTTTAACATCAATACCAGGATGCCATCCTGATGAGTGGATTGCTGTGTAATGAAACCTACATGATGCATAAATACTTCACCATTCAGTGTTTAGCTGTCTCTTGTGTTGAAATTGTTTCAATGTTTTGGCATACATTGCAATTGCCATCTTCGGCATGAGTGAGGTTGAAGGAGTAAGTGAATTGAAATAGACCTCATATTTGCATTAAAGGTTGAGGTTCTGGAATGGATACTATCTGATGGAAAGGAATCATGTGTTTAAGAAGAAGGATTGGAGGAAAAGGGGTGTGCCAAGACGGCTCAGTTTGTATGCATCTTCACTGTTGATGTTGTAGTGTTTGACTGTTCTGATGGTTTCTGTATTGCAGGGATGACAAATAGTGGATATTTGCTAGGGCTGACATGCCATTGTTTTATTTCAGAGTCAAGAGAATCAAAATCCATTCCTGTGAATTTCAACCTGATGGATTCCTCTGGAAATACTCCACTCTCTTTGGCTCTGGTAACAGGGATGCAGCACATGGTAGCTGTATTGATTCAGGGTGAGTGATATTAGCAGATGTTAAATGAGATTGGCAGTTCATTCTTATAGATATTTAGGTCTTGAAGAGTATCTTCAGGGTTGGACTCATAAACTACTAAACTTTCATCTGTGTGACTCAAGTAACATTCACCCTTATGTATTATAAATTGATGAGGGATGACCAATAGTATTTCACAGTATATTGAGTCATCCTTCCTTGTTATAACAATATATGACAGATGACATCTGATTATGGTATTGTTCCTATATTGTACATCAATGTAAATGCTTTGTAAGTCACATCTGCAGACAGTATTTGTAGCCTAAATATATGTGTTATGGGCAAAGTCAAAATCTGTTGTTGCATAGAATTCCTTGGTATTATATTGAATGCATCAGAATATGAAGCATAGTAATTAAAGCTTTCCTGTTTCATACATTGTCTGGGCATTCTATGCCATACTGAGCATGATTCCCGTAATGTTATAGCTGCAGGGGAATTATTATACACATCTGTTGCTGCTCAGCAATAAATTCAAACTGGACAAGGATTTATGAATTTTTTTTTTCAAATCGTAGTGCTGAAGTAAGAAATGCTTTTTTTTTATTACAAAAATTAAACCACACCTGTCGTTTAATAGTATGCAATATTGTCCACATAAGCATTGTTGTTCTCTTTCCATTAGGACTTGTAAGCAGGACTGTTATAAGAGTTGCATACATTCTTGAAAACTGAACACCAAAGTAAGAATTTTTTTTGTTTTGAAATGATTTGGTGTGAGTTGAAGTATCATTCAGTTTTGTCATTGCCATGAGGAATGTGTTTAAAGCAAATTCTGTTGTTCTTCTTATCACTTACTGGCACTTGTATTATTTCATTAATCATAATTTTTATAATGAATAATCATAAACTCTATGAACAAAATACTTGTGTTTTAGTATTATTATTTGCATTTGCCATATATTGTATAAACTATGCCTATTGTGGAACTTGAATTATTTAATAAATTTTTAACAGTCACTGTACAGACACCTGAAGATGGCCTTTTATGGCCAAAATATCGTGAAGGGAAGAAGTGATAGTAATAGTTGCATTGTAGATGGAATTATGTTGTGTATGAAAGAACGGTCAGGTTCAGCCCATGTGTAACATAACTAGTAGTACAGTAATGTTCAGCTACTAGTCATAGAAGCATTTACACTTGCACCTAAAATAAATGAAACCAGAAGTATGATGCTTCATATATAAATGTGCCTAGTTGAAGTCTCAGCCCAGTTACCAGCTATGTCTTTGTCTTTTCCTCAGTGCTTTTAGACAAATGTTGGGATGATGCCAAAAAATAGGTCATGACTGCTTCCCAGTTCATCATTAATGATCATACAGACATTTGACACAAATTCCAGCCAGGAACCAAAAATATATCCCATACCTACTACTGGCCTTGACATGCATTGGCTAGCAGCCATGTAGTGGGAAGTGTTACACACAAGTTGATGCATGAACAGAACCAGATATTATAGTCTTGTAAATACCCTGTAGAATTATTTACCTCCATGGGTTTATCTGTAATTAGCACTGAGGTTCTTAGTGAGTCAGTAATGGACAGAATTGTTATGCACACCTAAGCAAGATATTACGTCCTTGCTCTCAGAATATTTTTATGAATCAGAGAGAAGTTCACTAATAAGTTTGAATATTAGTGAATATTACTTCTGTTCATATTCAGAATTGCATTGTTCCTATTTGGTTATGAAATGAACATCTTACATATTGTATTGTGTGTTTGTGAACACTTGCACTTTTCAGAGTATTTTCAAGCTAAGATACATGTTCTGAGGTGAAAGTAATGAATGGTGTGTGATATAGGTGGTGCTGATGTAAATGTCCGGAGTGGAAAAGGTTTGACTCTCCTGCATCAGGCAATCCTGAAGGAAGACTCTGAAACAGCAATTTTCCTGTTAGATCAAGGTGCTGACATGAATGCAGTGTAAGTGTGACTGTTGGCACTTGTTATCTGGCTAACCTGTGGAGTCAGGAATCACGATAAAGCACACCATCAGAATAATATATTACCAAAATGAAAATTATTGTATAAATAAATGTAAAAATTCATATAATATTAGGCTGCTTTGCTGGTTTGTTCTTTATCACTGCCCTGCTCTATACTGAGATGACATTACAATTTCATTGTGGGATCAGAACAGAAAAGAAATTCTGAACACTTCATGACCTCTCAGACTCTAATATGTTTTAGGGCTTTGAAAATTACAAATTATATAGCTCAGCAGTTCTTCCCCCTCCTCTTCATCATCGTCATCCCTCATTTTGTATTTTGGTTGTGTATATGTTTTATCTTATCAGCAGGTTTTGCAATGAAAAGTCACAAAAATGCGCCTGTTAGCTTCAGTGTATCTGACTGTCTATCAGTCTGTCCACATGTAACCACTTGAGAACCCTGAATGGATTTTCTTTACATTTGGTGTTAGGGAGTTTTACTGTCTCTGTATTGCAGTTCTGGTTAGGACTGGAAACAGCAGTTATGTACGTGACTTGTATAAAACTATTATTTTGATTTTTGTCCATCATTTGAGTTTATTATAGTCATTATTTTTGAGGGATCAGTCATATTTCTGCCATCAGATGGAAAGGAAATGAGAGAAAACCTAACCAAGCAGGATAGTTTTGCAGTATAAGAAGAAACGTTGCAAACCCTGATCTAAATTTATATATATACTGAGACTGCCTCTGTTACTTCTCCCCCTTTCAGTCCTGCGACCTACTTGGCCAAGTCTGTCCATAAACAACTGAACCTTTTCATGATGTTCTGTAGACATTTTGCCTTCTGGGAAAAAATAAAGGGAGAGTAACTAAATCTGGATAGTGCAACTGCAGCAGATTACAAAAAATAAAAATGTTCTAAATGACTATAATGCAGCAATTGTGTCATGTTATTTCTATAAATTTATCTTAAAATAATACTGGCACACAAATAAATCCACCATTATATGTCTGAATTGTTTCTTTTACCTCCTGAGGCTTTAGGAACTGCTGGCCTATGCTGATATTTAAGTGTCTTTTGCTGCACAGAATTTAGTTTCATATGTGTTATTTCCTACCAAAGCAAACAAGAAGTTGGTCAAGACAAAGTGACATTAATATAATCTATGTGTTAATGTACAGTAAATCTGAGATGAACAGTGTAGATTAGTGTGTTGTATTTACTCATATAACATATGCAGATATAATGTGTATGTGTAACTCCTGGATCAGAATGGGAGGGCCAATAAGCTAGATGCCCTGGTATCCAGACATACTTCCACTGATTTTCTTTTTGTTTAACTTTGTCAGAAGTATACTTTTCACATGTAAGATTCCAAACATTAATGACACCAATGACCTGTGGACATTATCACAACAGATATACTAGAGAGAATAAGATAGAATATGTGTTGAACTGAGTTACCAATTTAGATATTGTGTTCCATATGTAGTATATGCTAAAGCTATGAGATAAATTTCAGCAGAGAAACTTGCTTCGGGTATTTTATCTTTTCAGCTTGTATGAGGGCTATTCTGAAGGTAACTTATGTTTATTTTAGGCAACTGGCATAGGAGTGGGGGAGAGCTCATGCATGTGAGGTCGCATCATATAACTCATTGCCGTATAAAAAGTCACATAACTGGTCACCTAGTGTTCTTGTCTCTACAGAGTGAGTTATGATGTGTCCTGTGAGTGATAATCCCGCCAGCTGTGAAATTCATGCTTTTGTCCGCTTTCTGCATGCTAAAAAAAACGGGTCCTGCAGAAATCCATCATGAATTATGTGTGGTATATGTCCAAAATGTAATGAATGAAGGAACTGTGAGACAGTGGTGTAGAAATGTTCAAAGATGGGCAGGCAAACAAAAGCCCGTGAGGAGTGAAGTGGTTAGCCATCTGTAGTGAGTGATGGTCTTGTTTAGAGTGTTCACCAGAAAACTGGTGAAAGACGATGCTTCACAATTTCAGAAATTTTGTGTGAATTTCCACAAATTTCACACACTTCTCTGTGAAGTTAGGCTAGGCTGTCACAAGTTTTGTACAAAATGGTTTCTGAAAATGCTCACAGGCATGCACAAAATGCGGGGAATGATTTCGTTTTTGACTTATTTAGAGCAGTACCACAAAATTGGCGATGAATTTCTTAATCACATCATACAAGTAACAGGCAATGAAACCTCGGCTTCATCTGTGATTGTCAAAACCAAAGAGGAGTCAAAGCAGTGGATGCATGCATTCACCAAACAAGCCAAAAAAGTTTAAACAAATGTCTGCCAAAAAGCCAATGTCACCTATTTTCTGGGGCAGGAAAGGAGTACTGCTGGTGGAATGCATGCAGTGAGGAACCATAATAACCTCAGAAGTATATTGCAAAATGCTAAAAAAACTGTGTAGAGCCATTCAGAACAAAAGGCGTTTAGTGCTGACATCCAGTGCAGTTCTCTATGACAATTCACATCTGCATACAGCTGCTCACTCAAGCACTGCTAGAGCATTTCAACTGGGAGTTGTGTGACAGCCCTGCTTACAGCCCTGATCTCACTCTGAGCGACTACCTCCTGTTTCCCTACCTGCAGAACTGGTTAGGATCACAACACTTCAGCAATAATGAGAAGATGATGGAAGGTGTCGCAACATGGCTGAGTTCACAGGTGGCAGACTTCTCTGACACCGGCATACAGAAATGTGTTCCCCGATATGATGTGCCTCAGTTCCAGTGGTGACTCCCTTGAGAAGTAGCTTGAGTACAGACGTATTTTTTCGTATATAATAAAAAATTGTTTTTCTCATTGCTTGTTTTGTTAACAGTTCACCGGTGGTTACTTTCTGAATAGCCCTTGTATGATAAAGTTATATAATACTTAATTTGTATAGCTGTGTTGAGACATCTTATATTACAACTATACATTTGACCTGCTTGAAGTCAATTAACCTTTCACCTCTTTCCTTCTACTCTATACTGTTGTACTTTCCTTATGCAGATATTAGCTCTAAGTTGTAACTTGGTGTGATGTGTGCAATAGTTAAAAAAATAGTAGAATATAATGGTCCTTTGTGATTTTTTCTTGTTGCTAGAACCACAGACAATGAGACTCCACTTCAGCTTAGTATCAAATGTCAGTTGCCAGATGTGGTTGATACCCTTTGTAGAAGAGGTGTTGATGTGTCCGTCGTAGATGCTAACAATAATTGCCCTCTGTGGGTAGCATTAGAAACTGGCCAAGAGAACATTGCATCAATCCTTGTTCGGTGAGCTTAATTGTTATGTTTGAAACAGTGAGATTTTTTAGTTAGATAAATTTTGAAATGGACTACCGCCGCTACTATTAATGCTGGTGCTGGTAGTGAACTTATCATTTATTGGCTGATGTCAACATGGTGGCAATATTCATGTGTTTCAAGGTGTTGTATTATGTAAAGAGAACCAGACTGGATTGCATTGGTTTGAAGTAAAGTCATTGTGTCTGCTTACATACTTTCCTCCATTCCCCTAGTAACCATTCTTATAATATTTGGAAGGAAATAGCTATGTTTCTGTTACACAGTTTCCCTGACATCGTCTTATGTTTGGAGAGCTGCTTAATTCAGACCTTACCATTCTGTTTACTGCCAAAATATGAAAGGAGTGTTCTGACAAATATCCAGTCATGGAAGGGGGGGCTAGAATTCCTTTGAGATCATGACAAGTTTTGCCTTAATAGTAACAAAATTAGTTAGGGCCGTGCCATAGCTCAAGCGGTTAGTCACTGGCTTCCCACTGCGGCGGCCCGGGTTCGATCCCGGGTCTGGTCAAGTGGGATTTGTGGTGGACAGAGTGGCGCTGGGGCAGGTTTTCTCTGAATGCTTCGGTTTCTCCTGCCAATCTTCATTCCACCAATTGCTCCACAATCACCTTCACCTATCATCTGGGGCTGGTACAATAGGCCAGAAGTGGCTGCAGTACAAGGGACTTAGTCCCACCCCACTAGCAATAACAAAATTAGTTCCAGAGCTGATGGTCCCATTTTCCTCCTTTTTCACCTGTCATTTGTTATTGTATACTTCAGCTTATAGGTTACCTTTAAGTGAGTTAAACATATCCAGTATCATTCACGCCTTGTGAAGGTAACAGATGTTGCAATGGAAAGTTGCCAGATAAATGCATGAAACATAAAAGGATTTATCAAAGGTTATGTGTGTAGTTGTGTTTTATCACTGTAAGATGGGACATTTTACAGGAATGGAGTTGACACAGACTGCTGGGGAATTGGTCCTGAAGGATGTTATCAGACATTACTTCACAGATCTATAGATGAAAACAATGAGCAGATTGCTCGGTTTTTAATTCAAAGGTAAGAAACATATGACAGATCAGACAGGATTTATTCCATGTCCTGCCTCCCTACTATTCCTCTCTCTTTTCCATACCTTTTTTTATCTCATTATTACCGTCATCAACTGAAAGGATAATCGCTGTGATTGGTGGTGATGAAATATACACACATCCTAATTTAGATGGAACGCAAATCCATGACCAACTGAGCTAAGACTAAATACGCCACATTTTAATGACTATTCCTGCGCTCTTATAGTAACATTAGTTCTGTACTTTTTGACTCCGCCCTTTGTAAATGTCATGGGAAGCCAAAAACAGTTTATTGTCAAATGCTTCTATACTTCAAAAATAATAAGCATAATGAGGTGATATGATGAACCTGAATTATAAATTAATATGAGGAATTCTAAGAACTCATGAAGCCCATTGTTCCATTGAAGATAATTCTAGTCCTACAAATGTATTACTACTATTATTGTTCTTTTGTATTTCTGAAGGACATATTACTTTAAAACATATTCTGTTTTAAATTTTTAGATGTAATCTCAATCTTTTCTACCATTTCCACGTTTCTAATTGTTGATCTATGAACAGTATACCACATGTAATATGTAGGTATGTAGGTGGTATCTCTCCATACATGTCCAGCTCCAATCATTTGTTAGAATATTAATACCATACTGAAAGCCATGGAACTTTTCTGCACAGCCACTATGTTGTTTTCTACAAAAAGGTACCATAGCAAACATTGAATACCTTGTGAAGGGATATTAGCATGCATCATTTCATCATCCTGTTGCTGGTGCTGCAGGGGTGGCCTCCAGTGGCATAACATTTGCACAGATTTTGATGAAAATTGATGAACTACTACAAAAGCTTAAACAGACACATAAACGGCATGATGTTCTCATAAGCTTACTTTCTTTCCTTAGAAGAAAGAAGTTGGCTAATAACTTTAGAATATTTGTTTCTGTTAGCTGCTTCAGAGATAATGTTGTGAAGTTACATATCTTTTTAAAATTATAGTGGCTGTGACCTGAACTCAGCCAGAAGACCTGGCCCTGGAGGTCGAGGTGGTGATGAAGCTCGTGACCAGGCCAGTCCATTACACCTTTGTTGTCAGTGGGGTCTGGAGACAGTAGTGCAAACACTTGTGGAACATGGGGCTGCCATTAACAGCAGGGTAAGCTGTTCATTGTCAGAACAGAGGTGGTACAAGGTGGTTGGAGTGATTGTTTTGTGTGCTTTCAGTGATAGCCTCCTGCTTCAGAGAGTCTATACACATTGCTAGAAGTAGTGACACCGTGCATTGCTATAGAATCCATGAGGCTTGTATCTCTTTCAGTGGAGCACATACACATTAGCAAAGGTTTGGTGCCAGTTTCTAGATATCATTTTATCCCACCCATGATGCATCATGTGCCATCAATCAAATTCAATTATTTGTCACTGAAACATGGTCTCATAACATCCCTACACATTAATATCTGCATAATGATACATGTATTGGCACTTTTATCAACATATGTGGTGCTCACTACTCTCACTGAAAGCAGCAATTAAAGTTGAGAATCATGATCAAATTAACAGTACCATTTTCTCTACTCTCCCCTCTTCCAGACTGTTACAGGAAAAGCATCAAACACTTCCTTTCATATTCTTTACTGTGGTTTTCATGCAGGTATAGTTTTCTGGGATTTGAAATTAAATTGGGAGGTCATACTGAGTTTTTTTCCTTTAACTGTTCCATAGCCTTTTTGAAATCTTATAAATAACTAATGTACAGTGCTTTTGTAATCCCATTTTTCTTTCACATTTGCTGAAAACAAGATATTTGATTGGAAACCTGTACCTTACATTAAGATATGGGTATAAAGTTAAGTTTATTTGATATATACTAGTGGTTGGCTGGCCCTTGGAAGCATGGAAATGAACCTTCAGGTTTCATAAAAGCTAGGAAGTTCTTAAGTAGCTGATTGACCATTAGTTCCTGAAGAAGAAACTTTTCTCCACAGAGTTAATTAGTTATATAATCTAAGTAATATATATTAATTAAATTTACCATCATTTGTATCACATCATCATCATCGGTTGTTGATCTCAATGCAGAAAACTAAAATACACTCATCCCTGAAAAACAATGGTATGTACATGAAAATTAGTGATATCTGTGACTGTTGCAGGATGCAGAAGGAAAGACTCCACTTCATGTTGCTATTCAGAACCAGCATCCATCCATCATCTCTTTGTTATTATGCCATCCAAGAATTGACCTCTCAATCCGGGACAAGAGTGGATTAACTCCTTTTGCCACAGCTCTCACCTACAGGAACAACAAGGCAGCTCAGGCCATTCTTGATAAGCTACCCACAGCAGCTGAGCAGGTATTTTAGATGTATACATCATTAACCCTTTTGGGTGACAATTCCTCCACCGATGAATGTCGACATATGATCGACAGAGTTTCTTTCATATTTCTCCAGTCACATGTCGATCATATGTCACTACTGGCCACTGTATTCTGTGCCACAGCATTCATGAATGTTTTGTCTGCATTTTTCTACCATCTGGAAGTCATAATTTTAACTTCTTGGAGAACAAATGCCATTTATATATTATGGCGTTTCACGTGTTAGCAGCATGGTTTTACATTTGACTGAACCTTGACCCCCTGGATTGAGAAAATGGATATATAATCCCTTGCATGATGTGGATGATATGTTAAATTAAGAACTCATTATTGACTCTGATGCTTGCATGATGCAGACGATATGTTAAATGAAGAACCCAATATTGACTCTGATGATGAGATTGATTTTGCAATTGAAGGAGAAACTGTGAGTGAAGAATTGAGCAGTGAAATGTCAGAAAGTGAGAGTGAGAGTGAAACAAATGTTGTTGCATGTTGATGGATGGGAAGACATGACAATGGGCAACAAGAAACCCAGGTCATACACATTTACTAAAATGCAGGGCCACAATTTAATCTTCGACCAGATACGGAGTCCATGAATTATTTTATTTTATTTTATTTTATTTTACAGTGATGAGCCTTTGAATAACATTGTTATAGAGACAAACAGGTAGGCAAGACACAAAATTTTGGAACTTCAGTTCAGCTCAAGGTCCATTTGGGGTAGGTGGTCTGATGTGTCAGTTCCTGAAATGATGGCGTTTTTAAGTCTTAACTATAAATTTGAGCCTAGTCCCATTACCCCATATAACCTTTAAGAGCCTAGCAACACCGTATGGAGACCTTTAAAGTGTAGCCGAGTGGCTGTGTGACACCATATGGGTATGCACAGTCCACACATGCACACAGTGTTTTAAAATCTAATTTTAAGATGGAAATTCTTGTTCTGCTTACATTATTTTTGGGCACCAGCTTTATAAGTAGACAGTCTTCCCGCCTGCGTCATCTAACTGAATGCTGCCTTCGTGTGGTACTGTTGGAAACATCTGGAAATGCAGAGTCTGACGCAATTCATGCACTTTGTCTGGATGTAACTCCGTTTCCCACACGAAGAGCACACGCGACACCTCAGTCTCGTATTAGAGGAAGTCGGCCAGTGATGTCGAGTGGCCTCCTCTAATCGAGATATCGCCGATGACAGCAGGAGGTTGACCCATGAACCATTGAGGGCGAGGTGGACCCCTTGCAGCATGTTCCAGCATGTTGCGCACAAGGGCGAGACGAAATTCTCTGTGTGACAATTTCGTGCCACAGGATGAAACTGTTCAGAATTGTCAGATCCAGGAGATGGAAAAATAGTTTATTTGTCCATTTCCAGGTCTGACGACTGATGCTATAACTGTTTGTCATTCTGTCCGCTTTGTCGACATAACCCATGTGCGTATTGTAGTCAACAACAATTGCTGGCTTGATGTCATTTCCATGCTCATCACAGAAACTGCCTTCTGCTGGAGGACAGGGCATGTTTATCAGTATGTAAACATCATGTTTGTCTTTCCAAACTAGTGCTGTCAAGTTCCGTCTCACCCTGACAGGAATGTCACCTTTCTTCAGTCAAAATTGTCTTCGTCGAAAATCGTCAGGCAAGCCCTTCTGATTAGGTCTGACTGTCCCATAGCACGTTATGTCCTTTGTCATCAGTTTGTGAAACAAGTCTGGTGATGAAAAGAAATCGTCCATGTACAGTTTGTGACCTATGCCCTCAACACATCTGCATAGGTCCCTAACTGTAGCATGTGTTGCTGTCACATCTTGGTCAGCACGTGTCCTGTCTTTTCCTAGGTAAACTTTCAGGTCATAAGTATACCCAGCGGCATCACAAATTTTGAAGATTTTGATTCTGACACGTTTGTGTTTCTTAGGAATGTACTGCCTAAAAACCACCCTCCCTTTGAATTTAACGATTATCTCGTCTATGGCCAAATGTTCGGAAGGGTTATAATATTTTTCATATGCGTCATTGAGAGTGTCGAAGATAGTCCGAATTTTCCATAGTCAGTCATAACTGTCGGCATTCCTGTCAGTTTCTGTATTGTCTGCAAAATGAAGAAAACGAAGAATGTGTAGAAAACAGTCATGTTTCATTGTGTTAGAGTAGAAAGGCGTGGCAAATTGTTCTGCAGTCGACCAGTAGTCCTTTAGTCTGTCTCTAATGTCATGCCCCATTTGAATGATTATTCCTAGAAACAGAAACATCTCGGAATCGGTCACTTCAGGCCGCGGAGAAGGTCCGTCTTGAAGTCTGTCTAGGTATTGGTGGTAGTACCTGTTCGTCTCTTCCACCAGCAGACGGATAATCCCTGCAAAGTAGAGCATGAAAACGCAGAAAGGGATGGAATCCTTATTTACGTGTGGATCTTCATTGATATTTAACCCCACAGCTCCACCAGAATAATTATTCAATATCTGGTTTCATAGGCAGTTACCAATGTTATGACTTGGTGTCTCCATAATCAAAGTATAAGTCTACCCTTATTATGCAGGTAACAAGTTCCTCTAAAATGTTGATATAAAAGTAGTTTTTGTAACCCAGAATACCACAAAAATAAATTTGGAATTGGTAGCATAATAGATAGTCTCAGTGCATGGAAGGGCAAATAATACCTCTCTCTGAATTCATTTGTAGTATGACAGCCGGGGTCGCAACTTCCTGCACATGGCTATTCAGAAGAATGATATGGAAAGCGTTCTGTTTCTGCTGTCAATCCATGTGGATGTCAATTCACGAGTTCAGGATGCTTCACAGACTCCACCACTTCATCTAGCTGCAGCCTCAGGTTCAGAGATGCTTGTGCGGAGCCTGTTATTGGCTGGAGCTAGGGTAAGTCAAACTTGTATTTTCTTTCAGTAATAGGAGGTCATTTCATTAATATCTGTACCTGTCTTTCATACCCTAGCATGCCACTATATGTATGTTCTTTAATTTGAATTTAATTGAGATGCATTTACTGAATGTCAAGGTCAAGTGGGGAGCACTCTTGCTTTGCAATTGGAAGATCCTAGTTTAAAACATCGGCCTGAAGACTCGCTATCCTGACCAATGATTTCCATGGTTTTTCTTTTTCCTTCCAGGCAGATGGGATAATTCCTCAAATTAGGCCCTGACTTGATCCTTCCACATCATTTTGAAGTAATTATTTACTGACCATCCTACCATTTGACACTTTATAGTTAGAGCTACTGACAACATCATTAAGTTAAATAAGGATATGCTTACACCTACTTTACTTACGTTTTGGTGTTCTGTGACTGTATTCACGTTGTATAGCATTTGGATTTTCTGGCTGTGAAAAGTACATAGCAAGCCTGAAGTACTTACTGTAACCATCAGACAGTTGACTCACCAGGCTCTTGTTGGGCTACCCCAGTGCTTTATCGAGGGGGAAGCAGCTCATATATTTATCAACAAGATACGGGACTGACTAGTGAAGTTCTCCCTCCTTGTGGGTGGCAAGAGGATGCTGGACACAGCTCTCAGCCAAACCCTGAGGCAAGAGGCTATGAAAAAAACAGTCGGGCCATCAGCAAGGCTGGTAAGTGCTGGAGAACTCTTGGAAGCACAGTCTGCAGAGGCCAGGCACATCAGGCCTGGGTGACCCATATGCTGGCAGTGTAGGGGCATACGCCATCTTAGGAGAGACTGCCAACAGCTGTATCCCCACGAGGACTTCCTGGATGGAGATTGAACAAAACCAAGGAAACAAGTAGATGACATGAAGAAGAAGGGGCCACTGCCATCTCTCACACCTCATCATTACACACTCAACTTGGTGACAGTCTGAATTCTGAGAGACAAATAAGAGACAAGTCACATCATGTGACCACTGATAAGGGAGCAGTGACAATAGCCAGGTCAGACAGTATTGCAGGACTGCCAAAGAGAGAGCTGACTAGACTAGGTGTCCTGGTGATGGCATCAGGGAAGACCATCCGCATTTTGACTGAAGCATTTATAGGGTTGACACTGGGATGCTGCCCAGTGATGACTTGGGTATTCGGTGCCATTATCACTGATGAGTTCTTCCTGGTCTGGATGTGCTACACATCCAAAATTCATCCTTGGATTTTGGCTGCCATATGCCGTTATGGGCGATAAAGTGCCATTGTGGTGCCACATCCACCTATGATAAAGGACAGCAGCAAGGTGATACCAGCTCTGTGTGGGAGAGTCATGGTGGTCGTGGATAGCCTAGCTGGACCAGATTCCAGGGCCACCTACCAAGCTGCAGTATCTATAGTACAAATGCTGGTTCAACCCCAAAGGGAAATGCATATTAGTATGCTTGCAAACCCCAGCATGAACAGTTTGGACCTGAAACCAAGAATGGCTGTGCTGGCAAAGGCCAGCAGAAATTTACTCAACTGACCAACCAACCAGCAGGATAGTGTAAGTCAGTTGTATGATTCCCAGAGTCATGGGACAGAGAAATGTGGTCATTACTCCTATGGGACCCAGAATCAAGAACAACTGTGTTGGCGAGGACCAGCAGCAATTTACTCAACTGACCAACTGACAACAGTGGTTATGAGGCAGGAAAATATGGTCATTGGTCCCAATGGGGCCTGAAACCAAGAATGACTATGCTGGCAAATGCCAGCAGAAAATTACTACTCTGCTGTGTTCAAGACAGTCAGTCATGTGTCAGAAGACAGCAGTTGCAGTAGATGGTTAACTGTGAGCATGAAAGCATAGGAATCTCCATTGGTAGGAGCTGCTACCAAGCAGCAACTAGTGAAGACATAGCAGATTGAAAAGACTTAATGTGTACTATAGTTGTTTGTAGGGTGTGTAGATTTGTGAAAGTGCTATAACAATTTGTAATTACATGTAATAAGCACTCATTAAATTCATCAGTCAATCCAAACCCCATGTCTAGTCACTAACAGGCCATGCCATAGTTCAGGCGGTTATTCACCAATTTCCCACCACAGCGGCCCAGGTCATGTCATGTGGGATTACTGGGCAGGTTTTCTCTGAATACAGTTTCCCCTGTGAATTCCCATTCCACCAACTGCTCCACACTCATTGTCATCTGTCATCTTGGGCTGCTAAAATAGGCCAAATAAGGCTGACGTACCATGTGGACTCAGTTTCACCCCACCCCAAGAAACTTAACTGGTCACTAACATGTGACATCTTGTGTCAGAAGTGGGACAGGAGTGACTTGTTGCATTGATTATATTGGAATCAACATGACAACTAACTACAGCAGACATAAGCAGACACAGAAAATCTTATAGCCTGCACACAGGAACTGCAGGTCAGTCAAGAAATGATAATGACTGATACTAAGGCCACAAGGTCAAGCCAGGTAGAGGTGAAAGCCACAATGAGGGCTGGCCAAGAGAAAGATGTAGGCCATTGAAGAAGGACTGGAGACCAAGATGGAGCCCAATCAAGAAAATAAGGGGGTCAAGATGGACACCACCACAAATGCCAATGAAGAGTGTATGAAGGTAATGATAAAGGCTGACCAGGAAGAAATTAAAGTCGTAATTCAGTCCATTTGGTCCAAATTAGAAGAGACCAACAGTTGGGTGGAAAGCATCCTGGTGTCTGCCAACCAATGAAACCAGGGCCTTGGCAAGGAACTCAACACAAAACAAATAGACCCAACTGGACTTACAAACGATGAAGGCTTCTGTGGGCCAAAGGACCCAAAACCTCTGTGATGAGCTCAGCTTCAGGATTCAGGGAACACAGATCGACATACAACAGTGGGGTTGCTGGTAGAAGCCATGTACCATGGACATAGTGCAAGACTAGTATAAGTTGGAGTCCGAACTGAGCGTGGGAACCAGTATAGATAGAGTAAAGCCACTAAAGTTCAACAAGTTGACATCTTGGGCTACGTTCAGCTGCCAAGTTTCATTAACTCAGTTATTAATTCCGAGGGCTGTAGTCATTTGAATAAAGAGGAAAAGGCTCTTGGCTCTGTGTATATCCCAAATGTGAAAGAAATTTTACAACATTAGGACCATCTCTAAAACTAAACACACCTGTAGGAGTTCAACCACGAGAACAGACTGGAAGGAGATTCACAACAGATGGCAGCACATTGTGTCTATAGCATTCCCTATGAATGTGGCAGAAGCTACTAGATTGGTGAAACAGACTCACTGCTAGCTGTGCAGCTCTGCAAACATAAACAGAATCTCAAAGAGAGTCTTCTATGAAAATCAGAATTAGCCCAACCGAATAAAGAAGGTTAGGGTAAGCTGAGATGAAAGTAAGATTTTGGAAATTGAAAATAACAGCAGGTGTATGAAGTACAAGGAATTGGCCCATATGGAATATTTCATCAGTCTGTATATTTCACCCATATGGATTCCCCTTATCAGCAGTGAGGCTGACAGCTCATAGGGAAGGTCAGTATGATCTAAGAGATTCTTCATAGGTATCTATATGATTTTGTTTCTAAGGTTCACTTGTTCCACAGTTCCACAGATGGCACTAGCAGTAGAAAAATAATATTTTTACAACATGAAAATCTTCATAATGAGATCTGAAAGTTTATGACAGTGGTACATTAATACAAATATTGTGTGTCTGGACATAGGGACTAGCTCTGTCGATTGGGTCCAGCTGAGTAGGTTTTGCTTGAAGATGGAGACAGAATCCAGTCACCGAAACTTTTTTTGAAATATAAACAGGACGGTGTTTTAGATAAAAACAGGATGATGATAATGTTCAGAAACATAATATTGTCACATGTTGGGTATGTTACGCAACAAATAACTTCACGCTGTATTAGATCTAGCCAATTTATTGCACATTCGCTCTCACAATTACAAAATTTACAATCTCACAACTACTGCCATCTACAGTATCACAATTACTTCCACTGCTCTCATTCACTCCGGCGAATGCTAGGCTGCAACTGACTGGTTACTCTCTCTCTGTAGTAACTGGCTCAATACCCACTACTCACTACTCTAGTAGCTTCTGCACTGACAACACAGGAAACAGTTATGCAATAGATACCACTGTTGCGTAATGTCATGTTTAGAGGTGTTGCTAGGGAACGCTGCTGAGAGTTGTTTATTGCTGCATAGTAACCACAGTGTCCCCTGTTACGTCACTGCAGGAGGCAACAGAGTGTTTACCGAGCGTTGCGTAATAATGGAAGGGGGGGGGGTATGTGACGTCAATCGCGAGACCGCAGAGTTCACGTGACCCCTACTTATGAAAATCTTCAAATTGGTCCTGTTCATTGGTGTGTATGGATTTAGTTTATTGGCTTGGTCTTTTCGCATTTAATCTCCGCTTGTTTTATCATAGTTTCACATCTGCACATGCGTTATCACAACTTTTATTTTACATTTTCTTATCTCCTGTTGACAAACACTGATCTCATGTACATATACAGGGTGTCCCAGGAGGAATATGCCAGACTTCAGGAGGGTGTTCCTTATGTTAAAGTATGCCGATATAACCCAAAACACCTATGTCCAAAGTTGAACAGTTACGGAGATAATGGCCAAAGAAGTGTGAAACTTTGACAGGTGTTACACACTTGTTGATTACCAAATACATATTAAAACTGGCAAGAATACGTAGTTTCTGTAATGTTAATAATGTACGTAACATCAAACTAACTTGTAAGTGACATGAAGCCATTAAATTGAATTACAAAAAACTCGCACGCCATGTCATAGTTGTCGTTAGGGTTCCAAGCACTATACATAACACATGAATGGCAAGCACTGACATAACATGGCTGACTGCGCTTTCTGGTATGTAAGTGTATGCAGCTAGTGTGAGCCGTCATCACTACACTCAAGGACAAACATCGATAAGACTTGTCAGCTGTCAGGTACAGTGCGTGGACCCGCCAGAAGACTGGGGGTGTAGCTACACCCCCAGCAGAGGGGAAGTAGAGGGTCATGGGTCCTAACAGAACCCAAAACCAAGATAGGCTGTGCTGGCAAGGGCCAGCAGCAATTTGAGTGACCAACTGACGTAGGGTATCTGCAGACTGAGGTAGTAAACAGGGGTGGCCCCTGTCCCCACCTCCCTCAGCTGAGGACAAGACAGATCCAGTTTTGTTCTTTAGAATACCAGAGATTGGAGAAAGTCCAAAAACCCAGTAATCCCATGAGAGTATGAGCAGTGAATGTGAGGCAGAAGATTAGAACTGTGAAGACACTGAAGCTGAGACAGGTGGTAGGAATGGTGAACAGAGGAAGACTTGTGAAGCTGAATAAAGGCTTTATGAAGGAAACAAACTCTGTAAATGTTACATATAACATGCTTTCTAATATTTATTTTCTTTCATATGTTTATAGCAAGAGTATGATACTATTTCATAAAGTTACTTCTCCTGTGCAGACATGTTTCTTAATGCAGGGTCATTATAGATTCAGATTCATCTTCCATTTTGGTAAATATGGTAGTATGTTAAAAAAGTGGCTATAGTGTTATAGATTATTACAGTGAGAAACATGATCTACTAGAGAAAATTCTCATCTTGAACTGAAAATATCATTCTCACACGTGCCTAATATGTATTCATGTTGATACTAATGAGAATTTTTCATCGGATCTGTACCATCTGGGAACTGTTTTTACCAGAAGTGTGCATTAAGCCATACTTTGTACAATATTGTGACATGTCAAACCGTTGCTGGGCGATGGGATGTGAAACGAGTTACCACGAATACAGACTCTTGATAAACGGTCAGTTGCCAAGTTACGCAACAATAAGGAAATCAGTGTTTCTCCATGACGTATCGAGCCAAGCTGAGCCAAAGCGCGCCGGTTGCTACGCAGCAATAAACAACTCTCAGCAGCATTTCCAAGCAACGCCTCTGTAAACACAGCATCACGCAAGAGTGAAGCAAGCTGCGTTTTCCACTATCTGACTGAGGGTTTATAAGAGAGACTGGAATGCCTAAGGAGTCAGTTGAAATGTAGCAGCCACTGAAGACAGTGTCAGTTAGTGTTCGGAGTATTCGGCGAGTATTTGGAGTGAGTGCGAGACGGCCGCGGGAAAAAGAAAAATGGAACGCGTGTTATACGGAAGATAGTATGAAGAGATTAGTGTATAGGGTTTGTAAAGTGTGTAAAACTGCAAGAGTGTCATAAGTAATTGTAGTTATGACCTGTAAATGGTTAATAAACCGATAAACAATCTGGAAGGCATCTTCAGTAGCCCAAACACCTTACAGTATTAATGCCCATATAGTATAATCTATATGCATAAAATCAAAACATTTATATTGTAACATGTTTCGTTACTGAAGACGCCGTTCGGATTGTTAATGCGTTTATTTAACAACCTACAAGTATCAGCTACAATTGATTATAACACTTTTGCGGGGTTTCACGCTTTATAACCCTATTCACAATAATCAACTCACTCTGTTCTCAGTAGTCTACACCTACATATTAATTACAATACAGGAGCTATACAAGTATCACTGTATCACACACTCCCAATTATTACTCAGTTACACACGCGTCCGGTTCTTCTTTCCGCGATGGCTGCTATACTCCAACTGACTGCTGCCTTGAGAACTGTCTTCAGCGGCTGATACACTTTAACTCGTTCACTGCTCACTGGAGAACTCACTTCAGCGGCTGATACACTTTTAACTGATTTTGGCGGCTGTGTAGTTCCCTTATATAGTCGCAGTGTTTGCCTGTTACGTAATCGGTACCGCTGTTGCCTGACGCCGTGTCGACAACGGCGTTGCATGCCATGTCACAGTGCGGAGGGGGGGACGGACCGCTGACTCACCCGCCACGTCACCGTGGCCAGAGTTGCCATGTCACTGCTGGGGGAGGTAGGGGTTGTCCTCCATTGCATAACATGTCACACTGCTCCCTCCTTAAGGCTGTTCGTCCCGAATAGCCTAATGGTGCACTCCCGTTCCTTTTCTTTGGAGGCTGTGCTTTCTGCATCTCCTGTTTCGGCTACTCCCCGCAGCAACTATTATCCGGCCATTACAACCACTCCCCTCTTAAGACCAGCTCGTCTCAAGCGGTTTCCTTTCAGCTCGCCTAGAAGATCCCGTTGTATCACATTCATTCGTCTTCATTCATTCTTGCTAGGGAGGCCGGTGCTCTTACTACCGGTTCCCCCATACGGGCTGTTTCTCTTTTTTCGTTTTGGAGGTGGTCATCCCCTCCACAAGGTCCAATACTTGCCTTGTCGTAGGCCGACAGAAAATCTGGCTACTCGCTTGGCAATCTGCAGTCTTGCAGTTTTCCTCAGGTCTGGTTTCTTCACATATCGCGGCTCCCCGCCACCTAGGTCCTTCACTTCATTTCTGCGTCGTAGTTGCTGTCTCAGGCCTCGGTTCCTGATCCCAGCGTTGCGTTCCGGGCCTTTCCACAGTCTCTTCCTGAACGTCCATTTCTTGGTGATTTTCGGTGCGACCTTATTCTTGTTTTGTCCCATACGCCTGTGTCCTGCACAGCGTGTGATCTTCCTCATGGCTGCGGTTACTTCTTTCCCCGGTCCACAATTTCTTTGTGTCCAAGATTTCCTGAAGATGTTCTTCTTGCGCCATGCTACTGTTGCATGGCGGGACACCTTCCTGCTGTTTTTCTTCTGCCTTGCCACTTCCACACAGTGGCTCGTCCTTCTGCAGGCTATGGCCAACTTCTTCTGGGGTCCGCAATTTTCCTGTGTCGAATTCTTCATTTGTCACTTGTTTCGGTCCCTACGCTTTTTCTGCTTTGGTTCTCCGACCAGCATTACTTCGGCGTTTTGTGCGGGTACCTCTTGTAGTGCTGCCGCCTCAGGTTTCCTGTCCACTGAGGCCGGCTCTCCTTCTGGACGTGCCTCCATTTCTCAGCAGGCCATCGTCACTCTGACCGGTATCACTATGGGGACCTCTTCTCATTGTGCCGCCGCAGGTTTCGTGTCCACTGTGGCCGGCTTTTCCTCTTCTAGACGTACCTCCATCTCTTGTTGGTAGGCTATCATCTTTACTTCTTTTTCTAGATGCACCTCCGTCGTTTCTCGGCAGGCCGTCTTCTCTTCCTGCCAGGCATCCATATTGGCTTGCAACCTCTTTGTCAGCTTTCCTATCGGCATCTAATTTTGCCAGGAAATCTTCTTTGTCTTTTTTTCTATTGGCCTCCATTTCATTTTGCATCTGCACTCGGTATCTGCTTTTACTTGGTTTGCGTCTAATTTGGCCATTAAATCTTCTTTGTCTTTTCTTCTGTTGGCCTCCATTTCATCCTTCTCGGCCTTCCTCTCTTTCAGCATTTCCTCCATCTTTTCTTGGTTGTCTGATTTCCTTCAGTAGAAGTTCCATCATCTGCCGCATCTCCACTTCTGACACCAAATATAACTTGTTTTGTTACTGAAGACGCCGTTCGGATTGTTAATTCGTTTATTTAACAACCTACAAGTATCGGCTACAATTGATTATAACACTGTTGCAGGGTTTCACACTTTATAACCCTATTCGCAATAATCAACTCACTGTCCTCAGCAGTCTACACGTATTAATTACGATACGGGAGCTACGCAAGTGTCACTGTATCACACACTCCCAATTATTACTCAGTTACACACGCGTCCGGTTCTTCTTTCCGCGATGGCTGCTATACTCCAACTGACTGCTGCCTTGAGAACTGTCTTCGGCGGCTGATACACTTTTAACTGACTTCGGTGGCTGTGTAGTTCCCTTATATAGTCGCAGTGTTTGCCTGTTACGTTATCGGTACCGCTGTTGCCTGACGCCATGTCAACAGCAGCGTTGCGTGCCATGTCTCAGTGCGGAGGGGGGGGATGGAGTGCTGACTCACCCGCCACGTCACCGTGACCAGAGTTGGCACATCACTGCTGGGGGAGGGAGGGGTTGTCCTCCATTGCGCAACATGTCACAATATGTAATCTTTAAAGTGTATTATGAAAATAGTCCCACTGAACACTGTAATTCATGATTTCAGCTTTAAACAGGTACTGTTAATTTACCATGGGAAGTAGTATCATGCAAGTGATTTCTTTGAGTACAGACTGATGATCGTGATGCACACCGTTGTACAGCCCTGCACGTGGCATCTGCTGCAGGACATGCCAGTGTGGTGTCAGCTCTGATTCAGAATGGTGCTAATTTTGATGCAACTGACTCAGAAGGTGACAATGCCCTTCATATTGCAACGCGTGAGGGACATCTTCCTGTGGCTCGTGCCTTGCTCACAGAATCACATCTTAATGCTGAAGCTGTTAATATCAAAGGTCGCAATCCATTACATGTTCTTGCCCGGTATTCACGTGACACTTCAGCTGCCATCTGTGAACTTTTTCTTGAGTGCATGCCAGAGTATCCACTTGATAAACCAGATCCAGAAGGGAACACAGGTACAGTAACTTTCTTCTGCTCTTTTTTTTTGGGAGGGATGTGTTTGTGTGACATACTCTTATGATCATCCAGATGTATAATAATTTTGAACATAGAGGGCACTAGGCTTTTAACTGATGCCACTTCATGAAATTTTCCATGTTGATTCCATCATGATGTGCCTTAAGAAGTGAATGGCAGATTGAATGTACTTACTTTACAGTATCAGCATTTCTCTCACAAACTATTTGACTTCACTACTCCCTGTAGAAAAGCAAGAAGGTATATAGAGCTTTCAGACCTACTACTGCAGTTCCTCTGTGACACTTAATAGAAGGACAGTTTGTACCATCTCAAAAATGGTTCTACATCTTGTATGTTGTCAGATGAAGATAACCTAGTATTTCTTAAACTGCTACTGTTAATATGTATTTTGAATTCTGTTTTTCTAATGAAACCATTTGACTACTTGTAGCTCTACTGCTGGCATATATGAAAGGGAATGGAAATTTGTGCCGCACATTGGTGAAAGCTGGAGCTTGCCTTGGTGCAGTGAACAAAGATGGCATAACAATTTTCAACTACCAGGTGGCAACAAAGCAACTTCTTTTCAGGTATAACAATTGATATATGGAAATGTAAAATTTATATATATTTATAACCTAGTCAGAATTTAAACCTCTACTAGTTGTACACTGCAGCCATATTTAATTGGCCCTGTAGCAGACATTTCTCACATCATTTTTCAGTATGATGTATTTTAGAAACTCTTTGACGTACATTTTTTTGGACCCCACTGCATATACCCACCACCTCACACATAACCATGAATATACATTAATGCACTAATAATTGTGTGGCATATAGACCCATTGCTAGGTAGTGACCATGAAATAAACAGCTAGATCATAGCCGTTGGTAACTAATGGCTTTGTGAACAACAGCCTGTGCTAGGTAATGGCCACAACAGACTGCACACAACAGTATAAGAGCTTTTGGAAGTACTGTTCTCAATGCAGTCCATTTTGTAGCTACATGATCTCTGGTCATGAGATCACACATGTGTGTGAAACTTAATTCAACATCAACGATAGCTACCAGAAATTTTAACAATAAATAAATATGTTAACGTACAAAATTATACCTTGATATGAAAACAGATCACTTATGGGTGACCAAAAAATCAACAACATTTAAAAACCTCAACAACAGGGTAATAATTAATCAGTCTTAATTTTATTTTATTTTAACTTAATTAAAAATTAAAATTTATTTTCACTGGATCTCTTTTAAGTTTGCAAATAAACTATAGCTGGCATTAATACTGTAAATAATGCAATGACCATTCACCTTAATTGGCCAATGTAGAGGAAAAAAAGCAGAAAGTATAGAGCTTGAGTGCAAAGTAAAAAACAGTGTAAATTTATTCAATTCATACAGGAATTGTGTTGACAAAACCTGTAATAAATCACCCGAAACATGTCAATCCTTTCGGAGGTGGTCTGCATGTAGCATATGCTATACTGGGCACTCAGTTGACTTCTCCGACTACAAGTGTGTCTATGGTTTAGGGTTCAGGACACACTGGAGTAGAAATATTAGTCCAACATATTCTTACAAAGACGGGGAGAAATAAAAAAAAAATCTGTCTCTAAGGCACACAAGAACATGAAAGAATAATTCTTCCAAAGACAGATAAAATTCTCTGCTGGAACTGTGGGAGGATAAGAATACCATCATCCTCCCAGCAGACAAAGGAAATGGGATCTCATAACAATGGTTTCATGAAAGCAATGTTGCTGTGGTGACAGTGGGATCATTGCTAGAATGTGGGCAAGGAAATTCATATTAATATTCTGCTTTTGGCAGTATAAACTCCCTTCTGCCATTTCTAGGATTTGGGAGAAAATCCAAAATATCTTCTGCTGTTACTACATTTATAATAAAAATATTTGTTTCTCGTATGTTTGCATTATGCCCAGGCAAAATTGTTAATTTTGCTGCTACATGCATGAGTTCAAATCCAAGCCAAGTTATTTCTCCATTTCATTATTCATTATCATCCACTTATTCAATATTGTGTAGTCTAAACCACTGACAGTGTTATTAAACTAACTGTAAGTAATTAAATTGTCAGTAAAATTACTTCAACCATTTTAGACATAACACTTCTCTTCATCCTTAACTTCATCTTTGTTCTACATATGAATGAAACTTTACAACTCATATCACACCATGCAAATGAAACTTGTTATTATGCAGTTGGTAACTGAATACCACTCAGAAGATAATACTAAAAATGAATATCAGATTACCTATGCAGTGTATTTTCAGAATCAGAATACATCCATGCTATGCTGCATTTAAGGATGTTGGCAATTTTGAAACATAACCATTGCTGAAAGTTATCGAGGTCTGATATAGATTTCGTTGTATTTTGCTTTGTGCATTGAAGCTATATTTTTCTTTTTTATTCTATTCTATAGACTCTTAGATCATTTGTCTCAGGAGCCTCCTTGGGCAGAGGGAGACATTTGCTTGGAATGTGGTGCCAAGTTTGGACTCACCATGAGGAAACATCACTGGTGAGAAAAAATCACTATTTCCCTTTGACTATAGAGGGATTGGAAAGGAACTGTAATTGGAAGCTCAGCATAAGTGCTAGGACTATCATTCTGATGGAAACATTCAAATTTTGTCATCTGATCATCTGGTAGCCTGTGGGCTACATCTGTCTCTCAAGGTTATTTAAATTGATTTCCATTGTTCAACTGAATTTCATTCCTAGTAGAACAGACCATATGAATGATACCACAACCAAAGTGCTATAAGTAATACTTTATTATCGCCCTGTTATTACAGTTCTTACATCAAAGTTATGGGAGTATAGATTCTAGTCAGAGACCATGTTAAGGGCGAAAAGTATGACAGTAACAGGAGCCAAAGTAAACTGATTAATACCTAACGTAGATACTTTCCATCCTTCATGTAAAAAAAAAACACAATAGACCACTGTAGGTCGCGGTGCAAGGACCAAGAAGGCCTACCCCTCATACATTCATGTAAAAAATAATTTTGAAAATACAGTGATACTGTTATAGGTGACTTTTCATGTGCATACAAGTCAAAAATATGAACATGTTAAGTGAACTATTGTACTTCTGCAGCCCATTTATTTTCATCAGATGATTGACAATATAAAAATTGTTCTTTACTTCTTAACCTCATAAAGACACCTTTATTTTGCAGTATAGTTGCAGAAAATATCTTAATTTTGGTTTTTGATTAGTATGTATGAATAAATACACATTCTTTGGTCAAAGCAAAACCACAAAAGACTGTAAAGCTCTCAGCCATTGTTGACAAAATTAAATAGCACAACATAAGCATGAGCTTCAAGATATTTCAGTGACATGGCACATAAAAAATATTACTGTGTTATATGCCTGCTTTGCACTAACAAACAATTCCTTTATTTTGCAGCCGGCATTGTGGTAGAATTTTATGCAGCAAGTGTTCAGATCGAGATGTTCCAATTCTAAAATTTGGATTAAATAAACCTGTCAGAGTGTGTGGGGTTTGTTTTGATGTCTTGCAAGTTGGAAGTGCCTAATACTTATCCAAGTGTGTGTGTGTCAGAAATAAAAATGCCTGGTGATATATTCCTTTCCAAAGTACTTTGGTATGAATGTTAAAAGGGCCAAGGAGTGAAGAGTAAACAGTGAGAAACATGAATGGTGTGAAATGAATTGAAAAGGGGGTTGGGAGTTATGAATACTGAAATATCATATAAATTGAACATAAATATGCAGATTGTCATTAAATTCCAATGGAATTTTTGTCACTAAAAGAATGAGAAGAAGAGAGAGTTGACAGTTGTCCTTTTTTGTATACAAACAATTCAGAATCTCCTTAGCCATTCTGTTTTGTTATCTGGTCTGTTTTGGATAATTTTATTAGAGACATTACATGATAAATGGCATTTATTACAAATATATGCATATGTAAGAAAACAGAAATATTTCATATGGTTTCAAATATTTGAAAGTGACTGCATATGGTAATATGTATTACAGGAGGAAAATATATTATTATTATTATTATTNTAATAAACTGTTTGCTGTTACTGTTGAAGTCAAATTATTTGCTGCTGCAGGAAAATATTAATATAATTACAGCTATTGAAAGTAATAGCAATGTCACATTTCATATTATAATAATGTCTGAAGTTATAATAGTACTGTGAGATAATTGTGACCAAGCTGAATAACATGTGGGCTAGTTCTCTGTGTGTTGATCATCAGGTTGTTCATATCTGCCTCACAGGCTGCAACTTTGCATTGAAGTCTTTCCAGTGTCATCTTTCTAGCCTCTCTGGTATACCCTCAGGCTAGACATTAGGTGAACCTCCAAGATCTGTGGACAGTTTGATATAAGAAAAGATTTGTTCTTTACTTGGAAGACTAATAGTCCCAAATAAGTAATTGAGTTTGTTTCCTTGGCCTATGTATGCTTTATAGTACTGATTAATTTATTAGCAGGAATTATTTTCCTTCTATTGTATATTCAGTTATATGAATTGAAAGGTAAAACAATGTTCATTCATAAACTATCTTCATACAACCATGATTTATGTAGTTATGAAAGTATGGCATTATTCAGTATATACCAGATATCAGCATCCTTTTTCTCTCCCTGTTAATGGTGACTCGGTTATTCATAATAATTACACGTTTACAGTAGTTACTGATTTCACAAATATTTAAATCCTGGATCAATTATTCATCTGTATTGTCATGAAGATATCGTCCATTTGAGTAATTAGCACCATTGCTGCCAGTACCAGCCAATTATGAGAAAGAGATTGAATCTAAAATTAGCAGGCAAACAAACTCCATTAACGAAATCATATGATATTGTGACATGTTGCGCCAAGCCGAGCCCCCCCCCCACACACACCAGCAGTGACGCGGCGGGGGAGGCNCTCCCCCTCCTCCGCACGGTAACGAAGCCCGCCCCGCCACTCCCCTCCGCGGTGACATCACGCGGTGACGCGGAACTGCTTCCTACTGTGACGTGGAACGTAACAGGCAATCCTGCGGCTATATAAGTGAGCTGCAGTGCCGGTACGAGTTGAGTTCTACTGTGGCTACCAGTGAGTTCTAATGTGGCTATCAGGGAGTTCTACTGTAGCAGCCGCCTAACACAGTTGTACAGTGACAGCCGCCGAGTTATAAAGTAACAGCCAGCCGACTACAATTTGGAGTATAGCAGCCGTCGCGGAAAGAAGATCCGGACGTGTGTATAATTGTGTAATTGGGAGCGTGTGATACCGCGATACATAGCTCCCCTACTGTAAACGTGTAGACTACTGAAGACAGAGTGAACTGATTTGCGCATAGGGTTATAAAGTGTGAAACCCCGCAACAGTGTTAACAGATTAATGCGATTAGGGTTATAAAGTGTGAAACCCCGCAACTGTGTGATAAGTCATTGTAGCCGTTATTTGTAGATTGTTAAATAAACCAATTAACCGTCTCTACGGCGTCTTCGGTAACGAAAACACGTTACAATATATAAACTGCTGATTTGTCTCATACTAGGATGTAAAATTGTGATATATGAAGCTTGATATTCTATCATTGGTTTGTTTGGTATGTGGGTCAAGTGGCATAATATACTAAGATAGGAATATTCGTACTCAAAACAGACACAGCTTTGTTCTACAACATGATACATGTTTATGCTCTCTCAGAATAAGATATAAAGTGAATTTATCATATACCCATTGACAGTTTGTGTCTTCATTCTAAAATGAAAATATAGTGAGGAAAAAATCTTCAGTAGTGTGCAGATATAAATTATGAAATAATAAATGGCATTAATTCATTCCCTGTCCTGTATCCAAAGCATATTTTAACTGTCAGTACGCTTTGCATTCAAAGTATTGTTTACAACTGTGATGCCATGTCTGCATTACATCAGAAGGTGTGCCCCCCTTCCACTATTCCACTTCCTGGTTCCGCACAGCTGAGGTCCAACAGAAGTGATCCATTCTGTTGTGGGAGCTTGAACTGTTCAGTCAATTCACTCTTTTCCTGGTCTGTATGATCTTGATTGGTTGATTGCTGGAGGCCTATTACCTCCAGGGACTTACATTGTATTCGCATCTAGTGTTTAATATATATATTGTCATTTGATATATTTGTTATAGTATCTTTGAGTTGGTACGTCCTACCCAAAAACCAAATTTCGGTCTTCAAGACCTTTTCACGTTTCACAACACCATACCACATGGTCATCTCAGAAGAAACTGTGTTAGGGCATGCATATTATTAAAGATTTCTTTTTGCATTAAAAAGCAGGTTAAAGGCCTCCTTTTCAGAGTAATACATTCTAATGCTAATGAAGGGAAAGAGACACATATAACCAAAAAACATGGATAATCCAAGATCAGGAGACCATGGTGATTGGTGAATACAAAAATTCAGAAATATGCATGTGACATATCATGACATGACAGAATAGCTTAACAAGAGATGCCATCCATTGCTAGACAAAGGCGCAGTAAACACACTGTGATGTCATTGCTATGCACAGTAAACATGCAACAGTAGAAATGTTGGAGTTGGTGTTTTATATTCGGTCCAACCTGCAACTGTATAGAAAGTTGCTATCTTTAGTTGCAGTCAGTAGTGGTTTATGGGCAAGGTTGGCCAGTTAGGGCCAGCAAGTAGTCAGGGATGACTAGTGATGCCACAAGTTAGTTGTGAGACAGTCGCCAGACTTAGCGTGTGCTGTAATGAGAAGTAGAGTGCATGCATTAGTAAGAGCATTATAATTACGTATAGTTACGATTTATAAATGTTCAGTAAATCCAATTACCAACCCAGTCACTAACATGTGACAATATGATTTGTTTAATTATCTCGAAAACTTACAAAAAAGTGATATGGACATAAAATATTTTTCATTTCTCTCTACAATTTTTGATTCCAAACTTTTATCATTCCAGTTATAATTTGATATGTTATGCTCAAGATGGACACAGAGATGCATGTAGGTCTTCATGTAAAGTAGTTGTTAAAATTGTCTAATCTGAATGAAAATTGATATAACATAATTTTTTGTAAGGTTTGTTATTCTTGTAAATGTGCCAATACTATATACCATCAGAAAAAAGCACTACTAATTTATTTTTAATAATGGATTTTTAAATGTGTCAGTACTGTGTACTGTTGTATACCACAAGAATAAGAAGCACTTAAGTTATTATTTTACATTTGCTCAAAAATGGAAGGTATATTCTGAAATGTGACAAGAAGCACTGTTAAATAATCATCTTTGTTCTTTTCATTTGATAGTATGATGAATTTTTAAGAAACCTGTTATGTTGACATTAGATTTTGCTGTGAATTGGGAAGAAAATTATCTCTTTTCTCAGAATCCCAGTAATGTCTAATGAGTCAGATCCTAATGAAATCTGTGTTAGGGACCAAGTGACATTCAAATATTGACTCTGTATAAAAATTTTCTCATAAATATGCCTTTAGTTTTCATGTGCTGTGCCTCTCTTTGTAATACAATAAATTGTTTTTAAGATAATAGAATTTTGATTTGTTTCCTTCCCTCATACAGTGTATGGGTATTGAACAATATAAAATAATGCATTTATATTACAGAAGTAATGTTAAAACTCAGATTAGAGTAGTCAGGCATCCCACATAATTAAATACCTTGCCCAGTTGTCCAGGGATGGATTTATCAGGATGCATAATTGCCCCATTATTGAATGTTCGAACGTGTATCCTCTGCTTTCAGGAATACACCACATGGAATGTTGAGGGTTTTCATTTTGGAAAACCTTGCAGTTTCCATCTTCATTGTTAATGACTGGGTGGGAGTTCAGCAACTCTTATGTAGATCTTGCATTAGGCAGTGGTGAATCAGAGGTGGATCCATGATTGGATAATAGAAGAGCAGGCTGCTAAGCACCAGGGAGTGACCATATGGTTAGTGAAAAGAGGTTATGAAAACATTTTGCAGTTCAGATGAACTTGAAAAGAGGTGATGAAAAATGTTTCAGTGACCCCATATTTAGGATAAGATGAGGGAACGCTTTTTCTTCTTCCTGCATGGATAGGAAAGGAATTCAGTGGTTGGATGAAGATGATTCAATGGTGAGTTTGAAGGGAAGAGGTGAAGCCAGACATTATTCATCTACTAGGTATGGCTGTTAAATACGTTGTGCGTTCAAGTTCTAAGGTCTCCGATTTTTTTTCTCACACAATAACCATACAAACAATTTGAAACTTCTGTCACTTTTCAACGTAATCTCCCTGCAGCCATACACATTTTTCACAATGTCGACACCTTGATTCCATGGCCGCTATGAACGCTTCTGTAGAAGTCTGTTTTGACCACTGGAAAATCGTGCTTTGTTTCAGGATTGAAAAACGGCATCCATGTCTCATCCATTGTCACAACTGATGAAAACAAAGTCCCATTCATGCCTTCATCACGTGTCAACATCGCCTGGCAAATTGCCATGCACAGCCTTGTGGTTGTCCACCAGAATTTATGGCACCCAACTGGAGGACATTCGCAGGTCTTCATGCAGGACTCTGTGCACAGATCCCACGGAAATCCAACTTTGGAGGCAATGTTTTCCACACTCAATTGGCGATCCTCCAAAACAACTTTCTCAACTCGGTCGAACATGTTGTCAGACCAGCTGGTGCAAGGCCGAGATTGTTTTGATTCGTTGTCACACGACATTTGGCCTTCTTTGAACTGTCACACCCACAAACGTACATTTTTCACATTCATGACACCATCACCACATGTCTCACTCAACTGGCGATGAATTTCAATGTGTGTCACGCCACGCAAGTGAAGAAAACGAATGATTACTCGCTGTTATTGTAACAAAAACGTCGCCGTTTTAAGTATCAAAAACACTGCTCACACTCGCTGCCACCACTAGAGTTCTGTATGCTGTACAGTGCTGTCATCTCTGTCACGCATTCACAAAGAGTGCACACGTATTTTAAACTAAACCGCATGTGTCTATCTGCTCCCAGTCCTGAGAAAAAAATCGGAGACCTCAGAACTTGAACGCCTCTCGTATAAGACTACATGCACAGCTTTCAGACGAGGCTGAGTGGACCCTGTTCCAGACCCACTACTTCTCAGAAAATCTGGTAGCACCTGGACTCCAACTTGGGACTTCTGGATCTGTAGCTAGGAACCTGACCACTAGACCAGAGAGGCGGTGAAACTGCTGTACTAAAGTTACTATTCTCAACATACTGAGTAGAGGCAAACTGTTTACATTTGGAGTCCCAACTGAGTGACCTGTTGTAAGGGCGCAGAGACCCTCAGTTCCATTGTGGCTGGACCTGCCACTGCCACCTGGTGTGTCTGAGGCTACTGCTGTTGCTCTGTGCTGCCTCAGAGCACCACCACAAAGGACACACCTGGGGTGGCAAGGTTTGAGGAGAACACCCTTTGTGGTGTAGTCTTGGGTGTTCTCTGTGATTTCCTCTTCTGCATCTCCTCCTTCACGTATCTGCATCCCTGATAATTGGTGGGATGGGCTTTCTCTCCTTCCACCAACTGACAGTTGTAGCATGCACCTCCTTGTGGAGGTGACCACCCCCACACCACAAACAACAGGGAGGTTGCTTGCAGTTTGCCTAAACGTGGCCGAATTTTTGACAGTTATGGCATTGCACAAGACCATTCTGGGCTTTATAGGCCTCTACTCTGATTGTGATGTGGCAAAGGCTTGGCAGTCTGAAAATTTCTTGTGATTCTACCATCGTAGGCAAGGTTATAAGGAATGGGTAGGTTTATGGTTGTTGATCCCTCAAAAGGTGACGGACAGGTTGCTGTCAATTTCTTGACGTTAGTAATGTCAAGACCCGGGCTCACCAGTCTGTCAAATATGTCTTCCACCGGGGTATTGAGAGGAAGGTGGCCTTATGGGTTTTTGGAATTTGGGGTAAAGTGTGAAATAAATAAGGTTATATTGTTTTCTAGGCGAGGTTTGACTGCTGAAAAATCTGTCATGGTTTTTGTGATTGCTCTGGTCTCATTTGTGGTGCTACAGAACTCGAAGTTGTCTCTAACTACAGCTGCTAACTGGTCCTGCTTATATCATCTCTGCACAGACAACACAGAAAACGTCTCTGCCATTATTGTTATATTCTGTTCTTGCCATGGAAGCATGCTTGTTTGCAGAGCCATTCCTTAGCAGTGGCTGTTGTATAGTTGCATATTTCACAGTCCTTCCCTAGCAAGAGGTCTACATGCCACAATATTAAAATGAATCGGAGAGACAGAATGGGGTGGTATCGACTGGATTGATCTGATTCTGGATAGGGACCAGTGGAGGACTCTTGTGAACATGGTAGTAAACATTCAGGTTACACAAAATGTTGGGAAATTATTGAACAGTTGAGCAACTGGCAGTTTCTCAAAAAGGGCTCAGCTCCATGGAGTTAGAATATTAGTGCCTAGTATTCAAAGTGTTAATAAACATCTGTGAAATTCTGATGTTTGATCACATTCATTAGTATGAACTACCACTCTACACAAAACCTCAAATTGAGATAAAAAAAAAAGTTACATTTACAGACTTTGATAATACTGTGCTTTTTAGCATCTAGGCACAAGTACTTTGAGACATATTGCCCAAACAGTGGTGTCATTTTATTTTAAAACCAAATTATATTTTTAAAGTTGTGCTGTTTGATATTCAATATTCTCTGTACAACAATTACTAGACAAAACGTAAACCAGAGATAAATACATATAACATTTCTCTAAAGATTTGTGACAATAACCCCCCCCCAAAAAAAAAAAGTTTGCATAACAAACATGATATTTCTCATTTACAGTCATCTCTTTTTGAGAAAATAAGGTGAAGTTGTCCCTGTGCTTAATTAATTACTACGCCATGAAGGCGTATGGGGGAGTGGATTTATACATCCACATTTTCTTAACCTCAGCACTGATTGGAGAAAAGTTGTCAGCCACTTTACCCCCTGGGGAAGAGCCCACCAGTACCCACTGGAGAGGAGGTTGGGTGGACCTTAGAGCTGGTCTGGACAATGTTGAGAAAATTTTTGACCCTACCAGGACTAGAACTCTAAGCCCTCAGTCATCCAGCCCACAACCAGTTGCTATACCGACTTCACTATCACAAATCATTATATAAGCGCTTACTTATGAACTTTGGACTACATCAGTGACACCACAATGGACCTGATTTGTGTTTGTAAAGAGTACATCAGTGGGGAAAAATAAGTGAAATATGAAGTGTTCTGAAACCAATTTCAGAGTAAAATGAAGTTCAAAATGTTGAGTTTCACACATCTGCAATAAGAATGTTTTCCATTAAGGGTTACTCTAAATGTTGCAACCACTTGGAAAATTCACAGTATCCAATAAAAGGTAACATCCAAAATTTCACTTTATGAAATGGGCATGATGCATATAAAAACCTTAGCACACCTAAATATTCACACACTTCTCAGATGTACCATTTTCACACTAACCTGACAATGTGAGTTCCAAGAAATTTTCATCTTTTACTTTTTGTTTTTATTTAATGTAAGTGAAAATAATGTACATACTCTCAACAAAATGTGTTCTAGTGCATACAACTTTATAAACTGTACATGACTAATGAATACATTTGGTAGTTCTACTTAAGACGTGAGAACAAAGTTTTGGTAACACAGGCATCCACACAGTGGAGATAGTCAAAGAGTTCTTCACTGCAGATTTCTGCTGTCTTCGTTCTAGAGTTCACTCGGTCATTGCACGTAGTGTACTTTTCATGAAGTGCTGTGCATTTCGGCAACTCGTGGCACCGCTCCTAAAGTTAAAAAAAAAAATTGAATTTCAATGCCTTATTTACAATTACTGTATGAATTCTGGGTGTTTCCTACAGGGCTTGCTGTGCTAATGCGTATTCAAATTTACCTCCACTTCTGCTCAATTTTAAAGTGGCAAAACTATGTCTCGGGATTTCGCCATGGGCAATGGCAGAGACAGTAAATAAATTACAGAAAAATATCAAATTTCATGATGTAATTTACAAAATGAACGACTTTGAATAATATATTTCTGTAATACCCTAAGGGTCTGTTGGGGGTCCACCAATTCTTCTTCTTCCTGGGCTTTTACATTTGGGATGACTGGCTTCATTGACACCTTGTTTCCCTAAAAATATAAAAATCACCATTTACAACGGGATGTATCGATAGCGAAAATTCGTCCTTAAAGAAGAAATAATCTTTAAATATACCATTGGTGAATTCGCAGCAAACAACCTTCCCAACAGCTACCAAGATTCTCATGCGCCTACCACACCATATGCTTCGTTTTCTAATTGGTCAAGCTGTTATTCCCTGCAATATTTTGACCTATGAACGAATAGGTTTCATGTCAACTACTATACGAGTCGCCTCAAGCACCACTAAATATGCCAAAATAAATTACTTGACCCACGAACTGTATAAATTTTCCCCATAGAATTCTTGTAAAATTCTTTTTTAGTAATAACTTACTTTTCGTAACCATATAACATTTATGAAACCATAGTTGGAGATGGAAATTCGGTGTGGAATTGACAAAGGTTAGGACTACGGAACGACGATGAAGAAGAGGATGTCGCGCTCTACGTAACTGTGTTGACTGAATCTACTGAAGATATATGTGAATATAATAGACTGACTTAGATGAAAATATATTTCGTAATCTTTGTTCTAGTGACATGTATTTGAGTAAAGGGTTAGTGTATTTGTTTTTAAGACCTTTTCGATATCCTACCCACCGCTTGCCGTGTTCAAAAAAAGTGAGCATCGCGGGTATAAAACTGTTGTTTACTAATAATTTTACAATGTGACAGAGCTTATATGGATATCAAATTTTAGCTGTTAAATAAATACAACATTAGTATATCATACAGTATTCACCTATTGGTACTTCACAGATTTTTAATTCAGCAAAGTCGTTGATTTCGTGTGTTATCAACTTCAGTGCCCGTAAATATTTTTCTTCATAAGAATTTGTTTTTGGCTCAAACTAATAATGTGTGTAATAAATGTTTCAATTGTCTTTCAGCTATGAATGGTATGATGGAGTCCTCTCATTCTGGCAGCCGCTCTGGAGCACATCATCACCACCATCATAAGCCTAGAAACTACAAACTTGTAGTTGACCCCTTTCTCGTTAAAGGTGCATCAAAGTTGTACAGATATGATGGGAATATACCAAATGACCCAACATATCCTCCAGTACAACTTCGGGATCCACGAAAACAACCTCCAAAGATATGGGGAACACCTGACCCTCTTGATATTCCTTTACCCAGATTTAAGGTTAGGTTCACAGTGTTTGGATTGTTTACATCAGGAAATGATGGCTTGTTGCGGTTTATTTTATTTTACTTAATGAACGATTCGTTTATTTATGATTTGTTTTCTTTTTACAGATTGATGCAAATTATGTAGGGATTCCACCACCATTAGAAGTAACAATTTGTAATTTGAATGACAATATTGACAAAGCTTTTCTATCAGATATGGTAAGGAGATTATGTATGTAAAACAATCGGCTGTGATTGAATCCTTCATCTTTGCTTTGAATGAGTACTTGTCTGTATCTGTTAAGGAACAGTTTTTCTTTCCAGGTGCAAAAATTTGGTCCTGTAGAAGAATTATTTATCTATTATCATCCTGTTTCTAATAAGCACCTGGGCTTAGCCAGAGTGGTTTTTGAGGCAATAAAGTCTGCCGCTGCTTGTGTTGAGAAACTCAACAACACGTCTGTTATGGGGAAAGTTGTTCATGTCTTCCTTGATGCATTTGGTAATATCTAGTTACTTTTTCTAAAAGCTTTATTTTTGAGTATAGTATTGCTGACTTTCTTGAATCTGTTATTTTATTTTCACTTTCCAAGGTGAGGAATGTCGAAAGATTTTCCAAGAGAAGACACAAGACAAGAAGGAGAAGGAAGCCGTACCTGATGTAGGGTTGGATGAATCATCATCAGGTGCTACAGACAAGGAAGATGTACTTGTGAAAAAACAGTTGCCAAAGAAGACTGGAATAGCTCCTCCAGATCAGATTTCGGATGATTTGGATCATTCATGGCCAGATAAGGATGAACTGTTGCCTCGTGGTGTTAATCACAAGAAAGAGCATGTGCCATTTGCTCATCATGATAATAGGGATTACAGTACTCCAACAGACCATCGAACATTCCCTGTGTCAAGACATCATGACTATCCTACCCCAGGCTCTAGTACAAGTGACTATGGCACAGCCCCTAGTGAAACTGGAAGCTACTCTGAAAGAAGTTATGGTAGCAACAAAGACTATGGCTACCATGGTTCGACACCATCCAACCATTCAGCTCACAGCACCCCTATTAGTTACGATTACCATAATCATTATCCTTCTGCTCCTCCTCCCACCTCTCATTCTACACACTATCCGCCGTTTCATCCACAGACTAGCCAGCATCATCCCAGGCCTCCCATTGCACCCCCACCACCACCACCACCACCACCATATGGTCATCAAATTCACCCTCCACCCCACACAATACAGACTCACATGCCACCTCCACCCATTCACCACACTCATCCCTTAGCTCCACCCATCCACTCAGCATCTCAGCAGTGGCAGCAATCATGGAGTGAATCGCAGCCAATGCTGCCACTCTGGGAGCAGTCAGCACGGCCCATTCAGCAGTCAGCATTACGTCATATCCCAGTGCATAGTGGTACAGTAACCACACTTCCTCCAGCCAATGCCACGCCAACATGGACACCTGCTGCTGGTGACGGACGTAATATTGTTTTCTCGCCAGAAAGAGGTAGTGGGAAGAAGGACGTGAAGCCAAGCGGAAAAGGGAATGCTTCCCAAAAGTCTAGTGAAAGTTTGAGTCCAGAGACACCAAAAGTTTTAGATTTGGATACGAGAATTGAAATGCTACTCAAAGGTAAAGGAGCTGGTGGTTTGGCTCCACCGTTTCTCCAGCTCGGAATCAGCAGTGATTCTGAGGAGGATACACCTATAAAATCTGTTGGTAAAATATCTTCAAGGCGTTCGTCAGGAAGTTCATCAAAGCATGGATCTTCAAGACATCGTCATTCTTCTTCATGTCGTCATTTGGACAGATCTCAGCAACCGTCTCAGTCTTCTAGCAGTTCTGATACAGACGGAGCAACATTACCTCCCCTTCCTCTTATGCTTAGTCTCCCTCCCCCACCAGGTGTTGATGAACCATTGCCCCCACCTCCTCCATCTGACAAAGCTGACCAAGATGAAGCTTTATCTACACCTCCCTCACCATTCCTGTCTGCCGAAATTTATTTGAAGTGGCATCAGATTGGGATCGAACAAGCTCGGAAAGCTCGGGAGAAAGAACAAGAGGAAACTACAGGTCTGTTGGAAAGTGTGAATCTAAATAAACCTGTCATTGACAATGATGACCTAGGCAGCATTATTAGCAGCAGTGAGGATGAGACTTTGACTGCTACACACATAGATAAAAGTGGCAAGACTCAATCTGAATATTTTAGTCCACAACAACAAAGGCAACAAGAGAGCAGCACTGAGGATTCTGATCAAGCAACAGAGCCACCAGCAACACTGGATTTGCCACCAAGGGTTGAACCTGAAGGTGGTAGCAGCCGAAAATCAACCCCCTTGCAGGATGAGCATAGAGATGATGATCGCATGTCACTTTCCAGTCTGAGCTCTGGAGATGAGAAGATAGAGGTGGCATCTCAGCCACCTGTCAACATGTATCCAGCCCCCCCACCATACACAATGTATCCACCACATCCATATCCCCCTCCTCCTTATTACCACCCACCTCCGGCACCTTTATATCCTGGTGCTGCTGAGATGTATGCATGGACTCGACCTCCAGCACCTGGAAGTAACTACCCATACCCACCAATGATGTATCACCTTCCACCACCACCACCAGGTTTTCCTGCAAATACTCAGTACCCTCCAGGTATAACTCCATTGGGAGCAACAGTGCACTATGGATACCCTAGCTTCCACCCTAGATTTCCACAGACACAAGGACAGATTCCATGTACTGACCCACAAGCACCAACTATTAAGTAAGTACTCATAAAGACTAAACATCTACCTTATATTTTACATTAGCATGTTTGAGAATGTTTTCGTTTAGAAGGGTTCAGAATTCTGAGCCACTCTTGCATGCATATCTGAGCAGGTGCTTGAAAAGACAAATGGTGCATAGCAGGACATCTGAAAACATAATATCGAAACACTGTGTGTTAACAGAAGTTGAAACATCATTTACTTATTGAGAAGGCTGGAGAAAATGGCATAATGAGGAGTTTGATAATTTGTATTGTGTACTCTGGTTTAAGGGACTCACATTTTATGTTTTCTCAAATTTAAGGAACTTTTTTTTGTGTCCCTAGACAAAGCTCCTTGTGCCTACTGTGTTATTTTTTTGATTTAAGGGTTTACCCACATTTTACATACAAAACTTGAAAAGCTTGATTTTTTTTGCATGTTAATACTCGCATGTGGCTACGCTTGCATAGTTCATTGTCATCATTTTCACAGGGTACAGTGCAGTGTGGCTGTCTCTGCCCATACTTTGTTCATATTCATTGACATGTTATATGTGTTAGAGAATTTAATGCTCTTTCCATAAAAAAAGGCTTGTCATGAATCAAAGAGCTAGGTAGAGGTTCAGGAGTTGGGGATTTACTTTTGTGATAGAAGTCTATACATCCTCCCATGCCCATTATAAGAATGTCATGCAGTATTTGGTTATGTAATAATGGTTAATATGGAACTTGTCACTAGAGACCCACCCAAGGTTTACTTTTTTGACACAGTAAGTGACTGAGACGGCAATAATAATAGAGGCAAGATCAGTTATTCATGTGGCATAAGACAGAAACTGTGAATTGAGGACTGAAAATTTTTTGTGTATAGAAACACATGATGGACATATTTTTCTTCCTAAGAAGCAACAGGCACGGCACAATTAGGAGAGAGAGTATGACAAAACTTTTATTTGTTTCTGCTCCAGATAGTGGTATTCCATTGAAAGAAAAAATGCACAAAGTTTGGTCATCTCTTTAACATTGTCACATTTAGTATTAATTGTCAAATTATAGAAGTTGAAAGAGTACAGAGTATACAAGTTGTGATTGAAGGTACAAGCATACATGTTTATTTATAGATGTGGGTAATACAGTGCATTGCATCATTTTGGTGGTTTGCTTTATAATTAGGCATGTTCAAGTCTCAAACTTTCAAAATCAAATTAAGAATATAATCCTGATCTTATTTCAAATATTGATTTTTCCATCTTGAACTTTGAAAATTTTTGGATAATAGCTATTACATTGTATAATAGCATCCAAACTACCCAATCCACCAGAATCATAATTGTTGGCAAAGAAGGACATTGTTGAAGGCTTCAGTTTTCTTAAAATAAGAGTACAATGATTTATGAAAATTTGTTGTTGAAAAGGGATCTTGTATCAGAAATGATAAGCAGTACACCTTGGTGCATTGCAAAAATTGGCTAGTATTGTAAATTGTGATTACAGTTCAAAAATTGGTGTAGGAGAGAAAATCCTTGTTCTCAAATCATATCTAAAAATATTAATAATGTGTGGAACTGTATCACCAGTTCCCCATACATGTTCATGGTCTGATCCTTAATTAAGCACAAAGACAACTTTACCTATACCTTAACTACTAATTGTGGGGGAATTAGATTTGAAAACTGTAAACTTATACATTGCAACCAATTGTTTTATTTGCATTTGTGTGTCTCATATTTGTAGCAGAATTGGAAATGGCATTATATCTTAAATGAACTACATATATTAATATCTCATGCAAGTGTCAGGACTCAAAATTCAAATCATTTTAGAGGCACTGTAGTGCCTTCATGCCTCCATTCGGGAATGTCATGCCACTTAAATGATCCACTTAACTAAATCAGAATATGACATATCCGCAAATGAACATATGCATAATGACAAATTATGGTTAGGAGATGGGAGACGTTGGAAACCCCACATTCACACATACCCACATTCCATGTTGCCTTTTATGTGATAGTATTGTGGCAATCCCGCAACATTCGCGCACACAGCAGTAGGACATCCATTGCTAGGTAATGGACCAGTAAACACACATTTTTGATGATAGAAGAAGGTGTTTTCTGTGGGGTCCATGCAAAGTGGTTATAAGAAGTGTTCAGCAGGACAGGAGTAGTAGAGGAGTACAGAACAATGGTCAGAAGAGAATTGTCAAAATGGCAAGAAATAAGTTAGGCTGTGACACAAAGACTTCACATGTGATATCAAGTGCCAGTGACACTGATAAGTTCATAGCCAGGATAGGACTAGTGATGACAGAATCCTGGTTCATGTGCAACGGTGAACTGGAAAGTGCATAGAAGAGTGACAGAGCTGTATATCTTGTAGACCTGAACTGTGTGAATGTATAAGGTGCGATAAATCCAATCATCCAATTCAAAACCTGCCCTATAAGTCACCCCAAATTGTGACATCATATATGGAATAATTTTGATCAGTTACATTGTATTTCAAGTTTGTTCTAACCATTTGCCTAAGCTTATTTTGAGACCTGTGATATAAAATTTTAAAATGAGTGAATAATTAGTTCACATTTGTATGTTTTCAGGGTTTTTCACTACAGTATCTAATAAAGAAAATGTAGGCTGTAGTAAATGACTTATATTCACACAGCATTGTTTTTTTGTAGTGGCGTGATTGACAGGGTAATCTCCGAGTTGAAGCAAATATTAAAACGAGACTTCAATAAAAAGATGATTGAGAACACTGCATTTAAATCATTTGAAAACTGGTGGGATGAACAAGAGAGGAAATCCAAGGTAAGTGCTTCCAATTTTATCAATTCTGTGTAGTGTCATTCAATTTTATTAATTTAACTTTAACCTTCTTACTGCGATGCAGTAACTGTCAGGCTGTTTCATGAAAGCAGAGATATTCTTAAAGAGAAACCGTTGTTAGAAGTCCAGTAGTTTGTTTGCTTGTGATAGCTCATGACATACATGTAACATAAATCCAGTATCTATTTATCATTAACTAAGACTATGGCTGGTCTCATCTGCTGAAATAGTTCACTGATGGGGAAATGGTTAACAGACTGTATGTTTGGTTATGATGTGTTGGTCCAGAAACATGTAGCAGCAATTTGATGCTTGCTTGTCCCATTCCTTCATTCATCATATGGGAGAAACTGTTCAGTCTTCATGCAAGCCTTTGCAGTGGATGGTATGGAGTTGTAGCTATATGGTTTACTCTTTATGAAGTCTGATTTCTCAGAAAAAGATTGTTATACCCAAAACTGTATATATATAAAGTCCATTGAGTTTTCTAGAGGATCCAGGCATGAAGGGAACTTATGTATTATGGTTCAGTGTAGTTCAAGTGGAAGAGTCTGTGACTCTTGGTAAAGGTCAGTTCTTGCAAAAATCTCTCATCAGGTCCCACAGGAAGTGTGGGGATGAACGTGTGCTGCAAAAAAAAATGGCATTCATCATGGTCCCCAAAAAGAGTGGTAGCCCTAGTTGAAGCAGGTCAAAATATAAGTTTAAGCTATCTTAATAGACCAACTGAGTGACCACTGCTTGTCAGTGAAGTTAGTGCCAACGATAGTGGATAGAATGTGTCGCGTGGTCAGCGCAGCGGATCCCCAGAGCCGTTAATCTCGGTTTTCTAGACCGGAATCGCTATTTCATGTTTGCTTGCAGGCTGCCACGGAGTTTTTGTTTTGTTTTTCTGTCTTAATAGTGTTCTTATAGACTTCTGTCATAATCTGTTCAAGGAATTCAAAGCATAGGTCATAAGAGTATGACATTCCCTTGCTTTACATGCTTTACTCTATGTAAAGAAGCCCTGAAAATGTGTTAAGGTAAATATGGGTATACAAATCTTGGTAAGGAAGAGCAGTTATTCTCCAGAGCAGGGTCAGCAGAATGCAGGTGGACTTAGAATGTGGGATGTACATATTTTTAAAGATATATCTTGTGTATTTTTGTGTGGGATGAGTATGTGCACATATGCATGTGTGTGGGTGGGCACATGAGTTCAAACATGTGTACATAGTAATTCAGGGGTGAAAATAATCTTACAGAATGTACCTGTTATTGTCAAGAAATTTCGTTCCTTTGGAATTTAATGGTATTTTGAAAAGCAGAACTTACGAGCTGTAGTAAGCAGTTAAGTGGTAAAACATAGACATTTTGGTTAAGTGGTATGTTTGGTATCAGGGTAGAGGATTTATGAGGGGCAGAACTTATGAGCTGTAGTAAGCAGTTAAGTGGTATGTTTGGTATCAGGGTAGAGGATTTATGAGGGAAGATTAAATATTAGCTTAAATACATTTCATGAAATAAGTAATTAAATTAAGAAACTAAGTTAAAATTACTTACTTCCCCAGTGACATATTTCATGCAGTAATATAAAAGAAATCTGTTAACAGAAATGTTGAAATATTAACTGTGATTGATACTTCAAGTAATCCATACAGGTGATAACAAGTCACCACAGATATAGAAGTAGTCCATCATTAAAAATGAGTACAGTAGCAGCAGTTATAATGCACAACCTTGTCAATAAATAACACTATGTAATCAAGGACACTATTTATATCAATCACAACAATATTTCATATAATACACTAAAACATACTAACACAAAAATAATATACAAAGGAATAACACAGCTGTAAATAGGTAATATAAAGAACAATTACAGTATGTATGATCCATCATTATGCTGACCATTCAAGGTATTCTTTTACTGAATAAAAATTTAGCAACTAATTTGAATTTTTTAACATCATATAACAGTTCCCTTATGTCACGCGATAAATGATTAAAAATTTTTATACCCATACAATAAGCACCCTTTTTGCATTTGGTCAAATTTACCGATGGTATGTGTAAATTAGTACTTTGTCATGTATATATAGTATGTATTTCATTATTAGTTACAAATCGGTGTATATGTTTTGGTACCAATAACAATAAAGATAACATATATTGTGAATAAAAGGGCAGTATATCTAGGTGTCTAAAAAGTCCCCGACAAGATATTATAGGATTCACATTCATAATGTTTCTTATAATTCTTTTTTGTACCATAAAAACATTTTTACTATTAGTCGCATTTCCCCAAAAGGCAACACCATACGTGATAATAAAATGAACATAAGCAAAATATACAATTTTTACGTCTTCTATAATTAAAAGCAATTTAAGAGATCTAATAACAAAACAAGCAGAATTTAATTCTGTAATCACTTTATTTATATGCTCTTGCCAAGATAATGTTGAGTCAAGAGTCACGCCTAAAAAAACCTGTGTAGTGAGTGCTGTTTATTTGTTTGTTCATATAATTTATTGGAGAATTATCGATTAGACTCATTTTCGTTTTAAAATACATATAATACGTTTTATTAAAGTTCATAGTCAATGAATTAGCTTGAAACCAACCTATTACCTTCCCAAGAACAGTATTGAGATTTTTTTTGAGCTGCATAAAATCAGAAGTGGTTAGTATTAAGTTAAAATCATCCACAAATAGAGTAGGTTTCAATATATCACTTATTACAGCTGGTAAGTCATTAATATACAGCAAAAGAAACTGGTCCAAGAATCTCCTTGAGGAACTCACAATCAAACTTGTTTCCAGTCTGAGAAGCAGTCAACAGATGATTTATCTTTTATTACTACCCTTTGGTATCTGTTATTTAAATAAGAGGCAATCAATTTAAAAAATGTTCCTCATACACCATAAAAATCCAGCTTCGTCAGTCATAATTCATGATTTACGCTATCAAATGCCTTGGTCAGGTCACAAAAGGTGCCACCAACCAATTTTTTTATCATTAAGTGCCTGCAGTATATTATTAATTAACCTTTAAACGACTAAAGACACCGTATGTCGTCGCAGATATAAAGGCAGCGGTACGAATGACGCCATGTGGTGTCGCAAAGTCCGCGCGTGCGGACGTTATTTGAAATACATTTTTAAGGTAGAAAATAATGTCCTACTTATATAATTTTTGGCCACCATCTGCATGGAGTGTCTGTCTTCCCGCCTGCATCATCTGCCGGAATGTTGCCTTCGTGTGGAATTCTCAAAAAATCCGGAAATGCAGAGTCCGATTTCGCAATTCACGCACTTTGTCCGGGCGGTCTTTCGTGTCCCACGCGAAAAGCACACACGACACCTCAATTGCGAAGTATAGCAAGTCGGCCAGTGATGTGGTTTGGCCTTCTATAGTCGAGATATCTCCCATAAAACGGCAGGGGTTCGACTCCCGGTCGCACAGTCCGCGCGTGATGACTTTACATTAATTACATTTTTAAAGTAGTAAATAATGTTGTACTTACGTAATTTTTGGCCACCATCTGCATGGAGTGTCTGTCTTCCCGCCTGCATCATCTGCCGGAATGTTGCCTTCGTGTGGAATTCTCAAAAAATCCGGAAATGCAGAGTCCGATTTCGCAATTCACGCACTTTGTCCGGGCGGTCTTTCGTGTCCCACGCGAAAAGCACACACGACACCTCAATTGCGAAGTATAGCAAGTCGGCCAGTGATGTGGTTTGGCCTTCTATAGTCGAGATATCTCCCATAAAACGGCAGGGGTTCGACCCCTGGCCGTTGATGGCGAGGGGGACCCCTAACAGCATGTTCCGCACAAGAGCGAGACGAAATTCTCTGTGTGACAACAGGATGTAACTGTTCAGACCAAGGAGATGGAGAAATAGCTTATTTGTCCATTTCCAGGTTCGACGACAGATGCTATAACTGTTTGCCACAGTTTGCCCACAGCTCCATCTGAATAATTATTCACACTCCTCGTGCCACGCTGGTGTCGTGCTCCCCAGGTTGCCGACGAAGATTATGGGTCTTCTTCGAAATCACTTTATGATTTGCTACCTTCAACGTCACTCTCAGAATTGTCGGTACAGGATTCTGTATCGGAGGCATTGATTAGCTGCAATATGTCAGAATATCCCAAACGACACGGACCACATGTTACGAACGAAATTTGAAATTACTCTCGACTGAACACGTCCAGCCACTAAGCTATTACGCTGTGTTAGTACGGCAACGGCAACGCATGCATAAAGAATGCTAGCATTGAACTGTAGAAGAACAGTATACGTATTGTTCAGGAGAGATTTATAAACAACACGTGAGTTTATATCTCTCTTCCACTGACCACATTCCAGTTGAAGTTCGTCACATAGACTGCGATAACGTCTCTAGACACAACTTCCGCTCTGTTACCATCACTTGAACTAGTGTCGCCATCCACCAGATGGAATTCAGGGGTGTCCAAAACGTATGAATTCTCGCAGAGAAGGAAAAAAATTGGCAAATTTCTTTTTGGAGTCAGTGCAAAAATTTTAACATGTTTTATACAATCTGTAAATTACAATATCTGATTCTATATTCTTTCGAGAAAAAAACAGCGTTTATTTCGTTCGATTATCACAGAAATAGCAGAAATAGGAGCAAAATTAGTAAGTAACTTACAGCTTTTACGGATTTCTAAGAGCGGCCCTTTAAATAATTCCGTACCGCTGCCACAGCCTAAGTTTAAAGGGCAGTAGGATAAAGGTTAAATTAAATGGAGCAGTTTCCATAGAGTTATTTTTCCTGAATCCATACTGCTCAGCAGCCGAAATGTTATATATGTGTATGTGAAGTTATTAAAAATAACTTTTTCAAAAATTTTAGAAAATGATGTAGACCTTTCACCCTTTTTGTATATCAGATGCACTTGTGAATATTTTAACCCTGATGCAAAAATACTTGTAGACAGGGTCCTATTACATATATAAATAAGAG